TCGGATAATCGCTGGGATGACTGCCATCCTGGGTATTCATTTAAGCATTTACTTATTCCAAGTGTTGCTTACAAATTACAAGATTAGTTACTAATATTTGTAAGGGGATATATTTGCTGGCACTGCTGATATTTTGCTGTGGCATTTGTTAAACTGTCTGTCCTTAATAGATACAATTAACGAGATATTGTTTAATTGAACGGATTTTGTATGATAAATAAAATAAGATACAGAGAACATCGATTAAGTTAAATGCAAATACTGTTTAAAACTAAAATCGTCCAAATCTTTGGTCTCTAAACCACCAAGAAACTTTAGCAAATCGCTAATATTTCTGCGGGCTTAAGGCTTTTGTTTATATATGTACTATATGCAAAGAAAATAAAACTAAACTTAGTTAAGATTTTGATATTATCATACAATTTTATATGAAAAATCAAACCCACTTTCAATTTCGTAAAGTTTGATTGCCTTATAATGTATGCTAACATTTGTTTCTATAGATAAATCGAAAATAAAACTAAGCTTTGTTACGATTTTGATATTAACACACAATTTTATATGAAAAACAAAACCCACATAAAATTTCGTAATATTAGATTGCCTCATAATCTATGTTAACATTTGTGAAAATCCTCAAAAAATAGTTAGCAGTTCGCAACAAAAATCCTTTGTCATAAAATACAAGAAGTACACTGTAGCTAGCAATATCAGGCCCATTTAAAGGTAAAACGTGGCAAATGAAAGTCAGCGGGACCTCCATAAAATTGCATGTTTATGGCAGGCGGAGTAAAGTTTTCCCAGACCATTAAAGAGATGGGTTTATTCTGTTCCACATGCATTTCCCGGCCAAAGACAATGTCCTGCAAAATGTGTCAGGGGCAATAGCCAGTTGGCCAGTTGGCCAGTCAACCAGAGTCCGGCCACTGGCCAACCTCACCTGCAACCTGTTGCCAAGGGTCAGGAGCAGGTGCACCTGTCACAAGCAAGGCACTCAGTGGGTGGTCAGGTGGTGGGTGGTTTGAGTGGGTGGGCGGTGCTGGAAGAATGCCGTTACGCCTGCTGCAGGAAATGAGGAATTGGGCTTGCGGTCTTCCAGTCAAATGCACCCCGAAATGGTTTTTATTCGATGCCAACCGAATGTTGTGGGGCTGCCCACAAAAGGAATGGATATTCATTAATACACTTCGCTTGGCTAACAAAACTAATTTCGTTTTGGCTTTGAGTGCCTTTTCGTGGCTTTGCGGTCCCTTTATCGCTTCTCTTTTCTGAATATCAAATGTAGGTATTCAAAATTTTTGCTTTTAGAGAGAAATATGTGAGCGTTTTTCAGAGACCTCCAAGTGAGGTGTTTAAAAGTAAGATCAAAGCTTTAAAATAAATGAAAATGGTTTAGTTTTTAGAACCCAAAAGTAACACAGAAATGTTAACTTAATTTTAGTTATCTAGTACAAAAGTTATTTTTATTGTTAAAGACCTGAACTGCAAATTTTAAAAGGTATGTCACTTTGAATTTGGTTTAAATTTGTTAAATTTAGAAGTCCAATTATGGGTCAGTTTTTTAAAAGTCATGGGAAATTTATAAATAACTGACTAAAAAACTAATCAACTATAAAAAGACATATTTGAATGCAGAAAATAGTATCTAAAATGTGCCCTTCTCGGCGTTGCAAACTTTTGACTGAAATTACAATACTCTCTTCAAGGGTATAAAAAGCATCCAACTTAACCATTGATATTTATGAATAAGACAGTACTTACCCACGATGTTTATCATAAAATAATGAATACCTTTTTGTTCTGTGTAAACGAGGATTCCAAAAAAAGAAGTCAAATTTGGAGCCACCAAGCCTCATGTCACGAAATGTCTTGTTTTCACTGCATAAAAAGGACATTTGTAATTTGTTAGCCGGAATTAGAGGTCTGCTTGGTCCTTTGGTGGCTGCGCAGATTCACTGGCCTGCATGTTACACTCTCGGGTAAAATGTACTTGCATAATTCATGCGAAAGCAGCGACGTGGCTGGAAAAACAACCCGCAGAAGATGGTTAGGGAAGCACTTTATTTGGCAGTCGGTGGCACGTAAAATGCTTTATCCCCGATTCATTGTCACCGAAAAGATGCTTTATCGCTGCCAGACTACAAATTCGCAGCGCAGCTAAAAATATTAACGCTTGAATCTCGTCCTAGACAGGTATGATATCTGGCAGGTGGATTTGTGGGTGGTTGGGTGGTTTGGTCCTGGTGGTGCGTAATGGAGAGGGCGTCCTTATACCAAGGACATGGCTGCGGGGCAGTGGAAGGAGCAGGAGCAGTGCCCGTATTTATCTTCCGGGCGAAGGAAAACTTTGTCTTTAGTCATTCAATCCAGCCAGCCACACGGACGTTCTTTTTTTTTGGGGATTATGGATAATCACCTTGGCGAGGGGAGGAAAAAGGAGATGCCCGAAAAGAAGACGCATTTGTTTTTATCGCACTTTTTACTTTGTGAGTGCACTGAGGAAAAATAGACATTAATCTGGGGTGTTATGTAAATCTCTTGTGGGTCATCTTTTTAAATGCTGCCTTCATTTAAACAATAATTTAGTTACATTCGTTGAAAATGTGAACAAAAACATGTAAAGGTTATTTTCTTGAGATTGATTTAGATACTACAAAATTATGAAAAATCTATTTTATTTAATTTGATCAGTAGAACCGGAGGAAATTGTTTTGAGAAATATGATTCTGAATTTATAAGATTATGTAAGACCAATTTTGGTGATCTTTTTTTTCCGTGTATGTGATTTTCATTCACTTTTTGTTAGCCCGGTTTATTTTAGCATAATTTTCTAAGCGCTGCGCCTCAGTTTTAGTACATTTTCATTTACCTTCTGCCGTCGCCGTGCAAATTTGTTTACCTTCGTGCGTGCGCAAGTTTTTTTAGATTATGCAAAAGTTGAATTTTCCATTGCATACGCTCAGGCGTATTATTCGCGCTGCGTGTCAATGTGAAACGAAAACATTCTACGGAAAATTCAATAAGTGTGGGAGAGCCACCACAGAATCAGAAACAACAACATTGCCGCTCATATTAAATTGTATTATTTTATTTGGGCTGGAGCCTCATTTTCTGGCTGCCCACGGGCCACCGAGAATGTTTACTTTAGTGTATTTTCTGTAAACTTGCCGCCGGTTGTTTTTGGGCTGTTGTTCTTGTCAGCGTGCCAGGCAAATGAGTTTACGACCAGGCCAAGGAAAAAAGGGAAAGCGAACAAGGAAAGGAAAACTAACTTTGTGCACATCTTACTTAGTTACAGGCCTGCCTTGTATTCTGTTTTCCCTCTTGTTCGACCCTCTTATGCTGCGTTTAGCTGTCTTTTCCTTTTGGACACTTGAAAAGGATACTCTTCATAGGGTCAGTAGGTCTATAACTCCAGCATAAACATGGTTTTCAATAAACTCCAACCTGTTCTACTCAAAGTTGTTCCTTTGTTGAGTTTTAAGTTACTTGAAAAACAACATTTTGTGTAGGCCAACATCAAACAATATTGGCTGCGTAAAACGAAATTGATATATGTGAAATAATTAAAAGCATAAAATTAACACATTTTTAAACAATTTTAAAGCAATGGAAAAAAGTTTTATGTATTTCTTTAACTATTTGGTAAGGGTCATTTATGATTCGGTGATAAACGAAAGTCCACCAGCTCTTTTGTTCACATCCTATCTTTAATGTTTTCGTGTTAGCTGGCTGGGCCTGGGAAAGCAAATTTCAAACATAATGAGGGTCAAACAATATTTGTGATTTGGTTTTTTTCAGGGCAAAAGGAAGGGCTCTGTTGTTCGCGATGCTGCCATTGTTTTCTTTTTTCTTCTGGCCACGAAACAACATTACGAGTTTGTGTACAAGGGGAACATATTTAACCTTTTTGGAGTCAGGGACAAGTCCTTTACATTTTTGTCAGGTTCACTCAGATTTTTGTAACCTTTTTATTTCAAAAGTTTTTTGACTATAGATTAATTTTCTTTTAAAGAACGGAGGACGTTGACACAAAAAAACCGGTGTTTAAACATGTACATAAACACTGTTTGTTGAGGTGAAATCATAAATTCAATCATTATTAATTTTTACCTGTTAGTGTTTATGTAAATAAATAATTAAAGTAGGTATGAGCATATTTATGCTTAATTTTTTTTTAAAGCTATTTGTTTTTATGTCTACATGTTTGTGTTTTTAATTATAACTTGTAAAATTATTGTAAAACCTTATTAAATCTTATCTAAGCATGATTATATAATTTTATGTGATTACTAACAAAAAATATGATTAAAATTATTTCGTTTAATTTCAAACAACGCGCTTTTTTTATGTTTTACTTATCGATGTCTAATTTCCATATACCGATATATTTCAGAGCTATGGTCACACATAAGCAAGCGCCATCTAACGGGCAGTAGCAGCTGTGCGCCACAAAGGCTGCAATATAATTTTAGTCTTTTTTGGCGGTTCTTTTAAATCTAAAACTTCTGCTATTAATTAAAATAAATACCTTTCATTATAATAATAGTTTTCATGGTTAGAGCCTTAGTTTAATTATTTGTTATGACTTAAAATCAGTTTTTTTTTAAATTCTGAATGCCACTCTTCGTATTTTTTCGTCCTGCTCCTTGTGCTGCTCTCTCACTGTCTCTCTCCCACCCTCGGCCAACCACCACCAACAGGCGATAGCGGCGGCATTTGAACTTTCAACCCCCGAAAAGCCACGTGCTCCTGCAGCTTTTGGCCTCCTTTTCGCGTACGGCAATCAATGAAAGTGAAGCTTTGCCCAATTTAAACCCGCTGCCAGCCCAAAAATTTCCATGCAGAGTGTCCTGCGTCAGTGGTTGCGTGTGTGTGTGTGTGTAGGGTTGTGCCTGCGTTGGTAGTGGTTTTTTCACCACCCAAGCAAAACCCACCACGCCAATTCGCGAGCTTCACGCGGCGCCAAGCGATTTGGATTCAGTTTACAACGGAAAGCACAAATCAACGGTCGTGAAAATCGAGCAAAGCTCCGTGTGAAAAACGCAGAAATTCGTTGAACGAAATTAATATCGAGCGTTTAGCAGTATTAAAGCGGAGATCAAGGAAAATCAAAGAATTTTCCAAATCGCGCGAGTGTGTGTGTGAAAAGTACGCCTAAAAGCAGCCTGGAATTTCAAGTCCCACAGCCAAGTTAAATTTTGGTACGGAACAAAAAAAGCAAGGCGAAACTTTCTGCTTGACGTGTCCTGCCCACTAACACACACACACATACACAAAGGACTTCCTCCCTATCCTTTTCTCTCTCGCTATCTCTCTCTGTCTCTCTCTCAGTCTCTCTGGCTCTCTCTATCCCCAGAGCTCTTCTTCTTTTCCCTATCATAAAAACTCGAGGTTGGGGATGCACGTGGATTTCCGTGAAAACAGTGAACTTAGCTTTATGTTAATTTCATTTGTTTCGTGCCCTTAGCTTAATGGAAATCAGCATTTTTGTGCATTCAAAGCGAATTCGCATTCCAAAAACCAACAAAACGCTACAAGTCTGCGAAACATTTAACTTTGCACGTTGACATAAAACTACTATATAGAGTACATTTTTAGAACATGGGAAAACCCAATCAGATTTTGGCAGGGAAAACCATCTAATAATTAATCACTTGACTGAGCGATCAGAGTAAACAAACATTTTTAAATTGGGTTTCTAAGAAATTTCATTTGAGTAGATTTGGTATTGTTCCTCTTGTTTATGTTATCCAACCTAATGGAACAAACCTAAAAACGAATATGTTATAATCAAATGTTTTATATATGAATTTAAGGGAATTATTTGAAAATATTTAATTGAAGTATCTTAATTTGAAATATAAATTTCGTAGTATAACCTTTTGATACCCCTTAATAATCAGTCATTTTTATTTACGCTACGATGCGTAAAAGGTATCCTTATCTTTGCAATAAAATCTCATTAAAACAATACAAGTGCCCATAAGTACCCATAAAAAAATATAAAGCATAAAAGGAACATTTTCGTTTGGAGGTTTTAATAAATTGCATTGGGGCTGGCAATGGCATTGGCCGAGGGGATGTTTTGGGCCACAAAAGCTCAACCCTCCCCATCGACCTCAACAGGCCAACAGTTGATGCTGTGCCAAAAAAAATGGGAAGCACAAGAAATTGAACTTTGTGCCTGTCTGATTGCATTTTGTTTCCTCCCTTCTCCCTCTCTTTCTCCACCCCCTAAAGCCATCTCTCTCTAGAGTGAGAGCGAAAGTTGGATATTTACAATGTATATGGTACTATATAAGGTACTGGTACACTGGCATTTTGGCCATCTTCTCGGCCAGACAAGTGCACTAGTCCTCCTGAATCTCGCCAAGCGGACATTGTTTGATGAAAAATTAATTTTGGATTTGGGTTGGGAGTGGGACACTTGCCACTTATTGATCGATTACTTTGGGGAAAAGGTTAAGTCGCATGAACACATATAGTAAATGGTAAAAAGGGTCGATTTTTGTTTTCTGTTGTTAGTATATATTATTTGATACCTCACGCCCTATAATAAATAGATCGTTTTTCATATTTTGTATTTATTTAAAATACAAAATTATATTATTTAACTAAATAATAATCCCAACTATGGTTCTAAGTTGTGTAAAACCACATTTTACCGATTTCCAAAACCACTGAAACAATGTTTTTTATCTTAAACTAAAGATTTTATTCTCCAGCGTAGTGTTTAACATCAGGTTATATGTTTACCCTCTGTAAACAATAAAACATTTATTTTATTAGTTCTTTGAATTGTATATGTTATTATTATGTCTAAGAAATAGGCCATAAAGGGAGAGACAAAATAAATAACAAATCGGTTGTGTAAATAAAAGTAAAATATAAACAAGAAACAGAAGATAGCATAACAGTTCAGATATTTACAATTGAATTTTAGTTCCTCGAAATTTTCGTGTTTATTATTTTCATTCATAATTCAAAGAATTTCGTTCACAAAATATTATATTTATATGTATGTCAACAGTTAAGGATGATGTAAATAAAATAAATATATGTACATTTATTTATATTTTCATATAACATTTAACATAAGAAATATGTTTCTTCTTCAAATGAAATTAAAAAACTGGACTTGAAATGCTATAATAATTGCTGGAAACTTTCCTCCGCTCCGTAAGCTGCGTTTATTTACATAATATTATTGCAAAACAAACCTTGCCTCCTCCGAGCAGAAGTTTACCAATAATTGGAGAAAGTAATCCAACACCAATGAGAGGGGAATCCCATTGTCAGTTTAAAGTGCCCTCCTGAGCAGACTGGCGCCAATTTCCAGGAAATACACAGTGGCGACTACCCAAAAACTTGAATGCATCGAAGGCTGGGCATCAAGGTCAGACGGAAGCGGAAGTGGGGGTGCTTTTTGGCTGGATTTTTGGGGGGCCAAATGTCCTCGCAGATTTTCGGCGCAATTCCCGCGTTGGCGGCAAACGAGGGCCAAATCAATTACTAAGAGCAAAGGGCGAAAATTGCATATTGGCAGCCGACAAACAGCTTGCGCAATACCTCTCTGTTTATATTTTGAGTGGATCCAAAAATAAACCACAAATATGGTACTATTAGTTGGCATTCAAAAATTCAAGAGCTATATATTTCTAAACGATTCGCAGTGTATTTATTATGGCATAGCGTAAACAAAAAGCCAATAAAATGTGCAAAATCGATTGCGTAAACAGAATGTATTTCATTGGCAATCAAACTGCATGATTTATGCAGAATAGGAAAAGACAGCTGGCCCTCCCCCTGATTTCCACCTTACCCGCAAAGCCGTTCTTATCGATTTAGCCTGCAACACGCCATGTCAGCAGATTCCCTTACTTGCTTTATTTTTACTTTACCAGTGTAGTGTGTGCCTGCCCCTCTTTTTCGATCTATTTCGAGGGCACTTTAACTGGGCACAAGCTTTAAATTTCTATTCCCATAGTATGCGAGTTGAAAGGGGATGAACTTGCTTTGTTTTTTTTTTAGGAATAACATTTTTGCCACGACGCAATTGGGTTTGTCCTTTTTTGCTTGCTCAGGACCCAAGCTTTTCTACCTGTGTGTGAGTTTTGGGGTTGATCTGTTTTTTGCCCGGTATATTTCCATTCATTTAAATTCTGAGCAGATGGGTATTCTTCACTAATTCCCCGGGTTATATAAGCAGGATAAGCAATTCTTCAATTAGGTCCTGTCACAGCCAATCAGTCGCAATCTTGACCCCTCGTTGAGTAATTTCCTACGGCAATGATTTAAGCATTGTGTTCAGACCACTTTCGTGGGGGCCAAGTGTGCCAACCCCTTCCAATGACAGGGCCACGGTCATATCCTGGCCAGAGCTTTATTTAGAAACGCCGGTGATTGAAGGCGAACGAACAGCCATCTACATACACATTCACATCCCCACCATTAAACTGCGACGCAGAAACAGCAACAGCACAACAATCACAGGACTTTAATATTTTCACACACTGGTTTACGTAACAGCAATCGTATTGTGTAATCAGTGGATGAGTTTTCCCGAGACGGATGGCAGAGCCACAACTCAGCGGGGTGAAAATGTGGAAAAGTGCATACTGCCTGTCCTGTGATTATTGCTCGCTTTCATGCCATTTAATCAGAGACATTGCAGCTGGGTGGTATAGTTTTGGCTTTCTGCATCTATGAGATACATTTTGTGGCTGGATAAATATTTACAACAATGGGTGGTTGGGTGTAACGATTCGGGAAACGCAATTGGAAAATGAGGCAGCCATCAAAAGACGTCATAGCGCATTACGTATACGCAAAATATAGAAGAATAGACCAAGAACGTATGAAGTGTGTTTGTGAAGGTGTGTTCGTCCCCCGTGAAACCCCCACCCCCCGCAAGTCCATCAATGAAGCGGCAGGACGCCAAAAGCTCTGAAGAGCTTTTCCTTCTCTCTTTAAGTGGTGAATTGCTGCTTCTTGCCTCACAGCTGCTGCTCCAATCAACACACCCAAGGCTCTCTCTCTCACTCTCTCTCTCTCTCTCTTTAGGGGATGGGGGGGTGGAGGGGTTCTCTAGCCCTAATTTACTACGTCAGCAACAGAGGACGAGCCTCCAAGTAAATAGCCACCACATAGAACGACCAATGGGTAACAGAACCCCCCTTTTAGTTCGGGGCCCAGTTTGCTCTTTTTTTGCTTTTGGTTGCTCTTTCAATTTAAAACGACCTTCTGCGGTAGTCAACACAATTTTTGGCTCTCCTCTACACCGAGCAACAAGGTTCAGGAAGTCACGTTTCGAGTGGGTGGTTGGGCGATTCAGTGACTCGTTAATAGTCCTTGGAGCTTCTGGGTTGTTTACTGCTAAAACTAAGGATCTAATTAACCTCTGACCCCCCACATACGTGACTGAATGGGTACACAGAAAGAATTAATGATACTAAATATGTTACTTATAAAATGCATTATCAGTAATCATTATAAACGTTTTCTTGGAAGGTTACCAACATTTTTCAGATGAAATTCCTTTTATTTTAGGTTTAAGAATCTTAATTAATTAATTAATTCTTGAAATTTTATATATCTTTTTTACCAATGAAAATCAACTAAGAAAAGATACAAATATTTTTGAAGTCCCCTAATAATATATATATAATTTTAGGGGTTTTATTTATAGAAAACTAATAAAGAATCCTTAAGGTTAATGCAAAAAACTAATAAACATACGTTGTATATAAATACCCATGGCACTACACGAAATTTGCATAGTAATAAAATTACGAAAGTTGACAGGGGGAAATAGGGAAAAGCGTGGGCGAAAAGTTTCCATTAACCAGCGGAGAACCCGCCTAATGGCAAACAATTAGGACGTAAATTGAGTTAGCAGCCACTAGAAGCGGTCTCAAGGACGAACCGCCACACAAATGGGCAAACAAGACCACACATTCGCACACACAGTGATACAATTCGAGGAGTATCGATCAAACAGTGGGTCTGGGGCGAATCCCACTGGCGCTGCCATTTCCTAACCGGTTGCTCCACTTTTCCGCAGACGGTAACCACGGACACTTCGCCAGGGCAATCCGCACGTTGATGGCTGCCACCAAAATCATCGATGCGCCGCGCAACGGCCACGAGATGGCCCCATTGAACACAAGGGCGAGGGGGGACGGCACCCACGGGGTGACCATCGTACTTACCGCCCCGCAGCGCAACTCCGTGCAGTCGGTGGACATCCCCGGAAATGAACCCGAACGAGCCGCCTGGAGCGGCAAGATGCAGTTCTTCCTCAGCATCATCGGCTACTCGGTGGGCCTGGGAAACATCTGGCGGTTTCCCTACCTGTGCCAACAGAATGGAGGCGGTGAGTACCAAGACCTAAATAACATAAGTACTATTAAATATATTGATGATAATAATATCATTCTTCACAATACGATAACAATATAAGATCTTAAGGATTATTTTAACTAATCAACCTGGTTTCAGTTCTTAGTTTGACACAATATAATATAAATTAATATGATTTAAAATTGATTGATTGAATTGAAAATAATATCATTCTTAACAATACGATAACAATATCAGATCTTAAGGATTATATGCTTTAACTAATCAGTTCTTAGTTTGACATAATATAATATACATTAATATGATTAATGTTAATACACATTTTTACAATAATCTATTTTAAATAGTTTACCTTTAACAGACACTGTTGATATTCAATGGAATTAGAACAACATCTTGATAGTGAATAGTATAATTATTTACAATACGATAACAATATCAGATCTTAGGGATTATAAGCTTTACCTAATCAACTTGGTTTCAATTCTTAGTTTCACAGAATATAATATAAATAAAAATGATTTAAAAATAGTCTTTTAGGTCTAATATAAATTAAAGTGATTTGAGTAAACTTCCAATCAATATAATACATTTTCTTCATGAATTTATTTTAAATCGTTTACCTTTAACAGACACTGTTGATGTTCAAATTAGTATTAATATTCATAATATTTTTATATAATTATAATAATTAGTAAATTAGTAAGTAATATTCACATGCTATAATTCCGAGTCGATTACGAGTTTTGTAAATTGTGTCTGCCGTCTGTGAGTTTGAAATGGAATTTTACGCAAAGCCTCGGATTACCGGGGCAAAAAGCGCCAACTGGGGCAGTATTTTTCAATCAATGTCTGTTTGACTGCACGGGTCACCTGCGTGATAACGCTAAATTGGGTAGACCACCGCCACGCCCCCCGCGGCCCACGACATGTGTCATATCCAATATCAGTTGGCCAACGAACTGCAGCTAATCAGGTGCACAGCTTTGACAATAACATTATGGGATTTAATGTGCACTAATTGCCTGGCTTTCGACGGCGGAAGGGCCCAATTGATGGCCTTGGGCGGGCCAGTGGGCGGAGATGGGTGGTTTGGGGGTGGGTTGGGAGGTAAAGAAGAGCACGCACATTTCTAATGGCGATTTAACCCCACCCTGGTTTTAATTCAATTACAATTGACAGCATGCCCAGCCATCGAAGTTCGAATATTCTCTTGTTCTAGTTGGCCAACCAGATATTTCAAGACCCGGCCAGAAATGCAAATTTCCGGCTTGCGTTGGATTGATTTTGTGTCACGTCACCTGCCTTTCAATTTTGCATGCAGAAAAAGTATAACAATGTCTATGGAACAAATTCTGGTCTGAATTCATTATTTACAGGCATTAAATTCTTTATTAAAAATGTCTTTGTTACTATTTGGGGCCCTTTTTTTGGTGCAACATACTATTTTCATAAAAAGACTTAAGTTTATCCATTATTAAATATTATTATTTGTAGGATTTAACTCATCTATTATTTACTTTTTTAATACTAATAGTGTGATAAGCCTGAGTCAGAATAGTTAGATAATAAAAAAATAATCATAATAATTGTTAAATATGTTATTTATATTGTACAGAAGTTATATTAAAAATATTTATAATAACGTTTTAATGAGGCATTGGAATTAGATTGGTACTACTCTTAAAGTTAATTATATGTATATCAATTTTGGTTTTCTTTGTGAAACTAAACCCTTTTATTGCCCATTTTAGGTGCTTTTCTGATACCCTTCATGATTATGTTGATACTGGAGGGCATCCCTTTGTTCCTCATTGAGCTGGGAATTGGTCAGAGAATGCGATTGGGTGCCTTGGGTGTTTGGAACACCATTCATCCCTGGCTGGGTGGCATTGGAATCTCGTCGTGCATAGTGACGCTGTTTGTGGCTCTGTACTACAATGTGATTATCACGTGGGTTTTCTTCTACCTCTTTAATAGTTTTCGGGTGAGTTTTTGTTTTGTTTACCCAAAGATAAAGTTCTAATATTAATGAGTTCCCAATTTAGTATCCTTTGCCGTGGTCCACCTGTCCCTTGAATGGCACAGGTTTTGAGCTGGAGGAATGCGCCAAATCCTCGGAGACGACGTACTTCTGGTACCGCACCACCTTGGATGCAGCCCCGTCCATGGATGAACCGGGTGGCCTCAAGTGGTGGATCGTGCTCTGCCTGCTGTTGTCCTGGACCATTGTCTTCTTCATCGTGATGAAGGGCATCCAGAGTTCCGGCAAGGTGGTCTACTTCACCTCGCTGTTCCCCTACATTGTGCTGACCATCTTCTTCATTCGGGGCATCACGTTGCGAGGAGCAGGAGCCGGGCTAATGCACATGTATACGCCAAAGGTGGAGAAGCTGTTGGAACCCACAGTCTGGCTGGATGCAGCCACCCAGGTCTTCTACTCCTTTGGCCTGGCCTTTGGCTCCTTGATCGCCTTCGGAAGTTACAACACGCCCAAGAACAACTGTGTGAGGGATGTGCTCCTGGTGTCCGTTTGCAATGCAGTCACCGCAATCTACGCCAGCGTGGTCATCTTCGCCATTCTGGGCTTCAAGGCCACCGTCAATGTGGATCGCTGTGTGGCCAGGTGAGTCATTGGGTTAGGGAGTGGGATTGAGATTGGAAGTGGGATTGGGATGGGGAGTAGGTTTGGGATTGGGAGTGGGTCGTACGCATCAGTGGCTACGAGGTGGGTCAGCAATATGATGACCAGTTGTAACCGGCGCCGTTCTTTGTATCTATTTGCGTATCAATGAGTTGCCGGCTCGGTGGGTGTATCTCCGTCCATCCATTGATATTCGAATCGATATATGGAATCGCGGTCGTGTCTGTCAATTTGCATCAATTAACGGACCCACTTTGAGTTATGCACAATTGCTCTTGAACTGCTTCGCCATCGGGTTCTAACCGATTTCAACTGGTGTTCATTGATGGTTTAACCCTCTCTTCCCCGCACAGCAATACGGATATCCTGGTGAAGAACAAACTGCTGGGACTTAATGACACCCAGGGGTATGAACAAGCCATGAGCCTGCTCAATGGGACAGAGCTCACCCGTTTGCAGTTGAGCGAATGCAGTTTGGCCCACGAACTGGACAATGTGAGTACTGTCTGGATGAGGTATTAGTTTGGAGGGGGTTTAATATATATATATTATTTCCATTCAGGCCGCTGAGGGCACGGGATTGGCCTTCATCGTGTTCACCCAGGCCATCGTGGAGCTGCCAGGAGCTCCCTTCTGGGCGGTGCTCTTCTTCACCATGCTGCTGTCGCTGGGATTGGGATCACAGATCGGCATCCTGGAGGGCATGCTGTGCACCCTCTTCGACATTGACATTATCAAGCGGGTTAAGAAACAGCATGTCACTGGCGTGGTGTGTCTCTTCTGCTTCATTGTCGGTTTCATCTTCTGCACAGGTGCCGGGGAGTACTGGCTCAAGATGTTCGACTCTTTTGCCGGCACCATTGGCCTCGTGGTGGTGGCCCTGATGGAGATGATAGCCGTGATCTTTATCTACGGACATGAGCGGTGAGTTTGGGTCTACAAAGATGGATTTAACAGATTACTAAAGGTGTTCTTATCACACAGCTTCACTGAGGACATTTACCAGATGACCGGCTACCGACCTGGTATCTACTGGCAGTGGACTTGGCGGTACATTGGCCCCGTCATCATGGTCTGCATCTTGATCTCGTCCGTGGTCTTCATGGTCATCAAGAATCCCACTTACGGTGCTTGGAATGCCGATTTGGTGAGTAGTCATTGGAGTTTTGATAAATCTAAAAAATATTGTGCAGTGCCCACATTAAGTATTTCATATCTTCATCTATATAAATTCAATAGGTTTTTCGGTTTATAAACTAAGCTACTTCAAACTTTTTGTAAAGTACTATGATTAGAAATGAATTGTTCCTAATTTTCCTTAATAATAATTAACATAGTCTTGTACAATTGTTTTGGGGTTTTAATTTTAAATATCTCATAGTTAAGCAAAGCATATAAAGATTCATGTTATAAAGGAATATATAATTAAATAGGATATTTACTTTTTATCCTATATATTTAATTTGTTCTCCTCAAAGTAAGCCCTTCTTTCCCCTTGATTTTCTACCACTTGTTCTAACTCCCATTTTTCTTTTTCCCAGGGTATGATTGAGCAGAAGAGCTACCCCAACTGGGTGATGGGTATCGCCCTGTCCATGATCCTGGCTGGCGTCCTGCCCATGCCCATCGTGTTCCTGATGCGCAGCTTCCAGTGCCTGAAGGTGGACCTGGACATCCACCAGGGATCGATCCGACGAAATGAGACAACCGCCTCCACCAAGGAGATGATCGACAATGACGACGATGTAAGTGCAGATCCTTGCTCAAGTCGGATGATAACACTTTCGATTCAATCTCGATTTGAGCTTTCTTTGTACCATTCGTTGTGTTGTTAGGCTAAGATTACGCCCATCTCTCTTTTGGTCTATACGTGTGACTAATTGTGTCTTTCTCTCACCTAACGATACATTCCTCACTCTTGCGCTTGTTTTTCCTATCTGACAATGCTTACATCCAAATACCGATTACATAACCAAATACTCACGCTCATTGTCGTTCAGAATATGAGTCCGGATATGCCACCGCAAGATTCACTAGCGGCGACACGCTTCACAATTGGAGACTTTGAAGTAAGTTGTGCCTCGTCCTGGCTAGAAAAGCCATTACCCCTCCAGAAACCCTCCTCCTGTCACCTGCACATCTCTAAAAACACTAAAGCTAATCACACAAATCTCTGCTCTTCTTTCCTTCTGCTCCCGTGTCCACATTCATTGGTCAATGTTTAGAATTAGAACGAACCCAAAACGAAGCCATGGATACGAACTTAAGAGCAGCGCCAAGTATTAGAGAACCCCAGAGATCAGACATCAGAAACCAGAAATCAGAAAAAAATTTAAACTAGGATAGCTCTAAACGTAGTTCACTAAAGACCTTTGCATGGCCCAGAAACACAGAACACCGAACACTGAACACCCTGAGAAACAGAAATACCAAGGACATGCCTCGACTCAAGTAGAAACCAACTGCTCATCCTCGGTTTTACCAAGCAATTACCTGTACTCAATACCACTAAGAACTAATCAACGCACAGCAATTAATCGTAGCTAGCAAACAATCGCAAATAGCTCTTTTTAAACAAAAAAAAAAACTGAGGCCAGAACAATTATTTACAAAACTTAAGTTTAGGGAAAAGACTAGCAAAATCGCTTGAGGGCTCAGCAGGAGTAGGGCAATGAATGTACATAGACTTAGGCAGTTCAGTGGCATATAGAAACCCAATTGGCAGCTGATCGTGGCTAATTTGCAGGTAAAGTAACAGAGAATTAACCAAGTCTTTTACCATTTACATTTTGTTTGTTGGTTGGTTCGTTCGTTTGTTTGTTCATTGCTTTAATGATTTTTGGTATGATTCAAATGTTTTACTTAAACGTCGGTCCTGGTCACCATCGATAGTATCGATATTAAAAATAGTTAAACATCCGAAAAAATTAAAAAAAAACTAAAAAAATGTAATATTTTAAATTGAAACATAAGAAAGTTTGCTTTTGGTTAACAAATTTGGTTTAATAATTTTTGTTGCATTCATACCAAAAAATTTTTCATTTTTAAAGTTAAAAAAAATGTATAAAAATAATTTTTCTGTTATTTAAAAACTCCAAATATCGATGGTGACCCAAAACTATCGATAATCTGTTTCAAAACCACCGATAGAATTGACAGTGCTATCGATTGTGATGTCAATAATTTCATACAACAGGCGGACCCTGAAATATACATCTACTTTACATCTCATGTATGTTACTGTCGAATACATACATATCATTTGACTCTTAGTGGTTATAATTTAAAAATTGTGCTTTTAAGGCCACATATTGGCCGTAGAGAAAGCTTTCGCTTGAGCTTGTGTAGAATATCAAGTATACGCAGCGTGGTGTCAGCTCATTTGATTTATGTACTATAATTTCGTAAGCAGTTCTTGATTTCCTAGAGGACTCAGTCCGCCCATTTGTTTGCCCGACATGTTGAAGCCACCCTTCATCCGTATTCCCCTCTTTCCAATCAGGACGACGAGGACGATGAGAACGACTTCAGCGGTCCTGCGTTGGGCGGCCATGTAAAGACCCAGAGCGACTTCTCCGACGACGAGGAGGAGGACAAGCCCATGACCATGCGGATGATGATGATGCGTCCGACGACGACAACAACCAAGACATCGAACGCGCTAAATGTGCCAACAAGCAGAAAGAACAACTACAAGAAGGATGCGTACGATGTCTAGGAGAGCCACAGCCCACACATATGCAGAAACCGATAAAGATACAGATACAGATACAGGTAGAGGTCCAGGTACAAGTCCAGATACAGGTCCAGGTCCAGGTGTGAACCGAACCGAAACGAAACGAAATGGCAAGTGAAAAACTAATTTAATTGAGACGAGCGGTGAGGTGAGAGCGTGACGAGCTGAGCGCAAACATTTATAAATATTTACTCTAAGTATTTTAACATAATTTAAATCTAAACTAAGTAATTACCAAAATAAAACAACCGGAGAATTGCATTCGAGTGCGTAACTAAAATTGTTAAATCGTATTTTAACACAAACTGAACTAAGCCCAAAACTAAACTAAATTGAACAAACTATGTACGAGTACAATGTGCCGCAGGATGATATGTATTATCTAAAACGGGTTGCTAAGAGTTTAAATTCGATTATGTAGCATTTAGTTGGAATGCTTAAAGCTTTACCATTAGACATTCGAGCACACAAACTGAAAGTATTTCCGATTCCCACGCCGCACACCCCCGCCCATCCCAATAATCCTTCCCAAATTTCCCGCCAAACCTCGGAGAAAACTCTTCAATGGCAAAACGCTTTTTTAGACGACTTAGCCAGCGCATTTCCAACGAGTTAAACTCAACATTTAGTTGTAGTAGATATCTGCCGTTTTTATTTTGACCTCAAGCAGAACTCACCCGAACGAAAAAAAACAAATATGTAATCTAAAAAGAGTTACACACTTTAATGATACTTCAAACAGGTTAAGAGCGTTGAGACACAATATTAACACTTCGAGTTCTAGTTGAGTTAAACAAATACCTATACTTACTATACTGATTAGAGAAAGATGCATGGAATGTGTGATATTCTAAATAATATCCTCAATGTTTAGGTGTTAAGACTCTTCATCCTTTCCCCCCCAAAAAAAGTCACTCACTATTTTCCCCGTGCAAGCCACTCAAGAGTATTTTCCCACGCTGACAGAGCTAAACAAAGTAAAACAAAAGATGAAAAATAAACTGCTGTGAATAGTTTTAGTGGTTGTAAAGTTCTATCGAAGAAGGGAAACCATAAAGCGTCTAATATTTAACTAGTTGTTAAGCGGCACCCCATTGTTCACTTGAGTTCACTCCACCGGATACCCAAAAAAAGATAATCCTTGCCATATTTCCAACTCGGTTTCCGCAAAATGGTTCTCATACAATCCCCCAAAACTTTCTCTTATTTCGGTAAGGCAAAGGCAAAAAGCAACACTGATATCTGAATACAGACAACTGAATCAAAACACATGGAATTTCGAAGTACTCAAAGTCAATGCAAAGGACGGACAGCAGAACGTTGAAGACAATAAGACAATTATAGAAATATACTTATGATATGGCCCGTCGAGTTTAGAGAGATTTGTAGTCCCCGACGTGGTAGATTTCCCCATAGCAGAGCTGGAATTTTTCCATTTTTACCTTATTTTTGGGAGATATATGTATCCATTTTGTACACCGCCAATCGAAAACAGTTCCAATCAAGGATCCAAATAGCCAGCAGATTTATACGTACGTTTACATGACTCTAAAATAAGAGATCCCTAAAATCAGTTACCCCAATATCCCCCACCTTATCCATTAAAGTCGAATCCTCGCAATGCAAACGCAACCGAAACCGAAACCAAATACATAGTACCAAGCCTAATTGTATAGTTTACTTGTTTACGCCACTATATATATACGAGCATTAAATCTATATATACAGTACATATTAACCTATATACCTAGCTCTACTATAAATATTGTATATCAATTATTGTCGTAGTGCTAAATAAAGCCCCGGACTCGTGTAAATTTGAATGTATTAAAAAACACTGCAAGGAGAAGAATACTTATATGGAACATTATTGTATCGTACGCAAGAAATTATTATTAATAAAGATATTTCATGATTAGTGCGTTAAGTTGAAGAAGAGCAAAACGAATTCCGATTGTTTTTTTATTTCAGGTTTTTGGTGGTATCACTGTACCACAGATGGCACGTTTAATCCCCGGCAGACGAATCTGCAGGTTTTTGACTGGGTTTTCGATAGACGACAGCGTTTTGTATTTGGTTTGTTGGCCCCTGGTCAAAGCACCTTGGACCGGGAGCTAACGACTCCCGATTAGGCTTATCGCCCAGGGGAAAGTTTCGATTTGTTTTGTTTTGGTAGCATATGATTAGACAAGTCAGGCCTCTGAAACCTCTGAAATTGCTCGGGAAAAAAGAGTTTTCTTGTTGACCTTCAATATTAAGTATTCCGGCTGGCCGTTTTATTGGATATCGGCATCGTAAATGACATTGTTCTATAAATATGCTAACACTAGTAAAGCGATAAAATCCAACTGGAAGCCACGTTCGATATGGCTGAAATGATAAGCAGAATGCAAGGGGAGAAATTAATTCATTGAGAGTCTACACTAAAAAAAAAAACGAAGGCATTTGAAATATTAAGTTAAATTCGTTACATTTTTATTTCCAAAAAAATCTTTTGTTGTCTTTTGTAAAACTGAATTTTTTAAATTAATTCTTTGAGAGTCTACACTAAAAAAAACAAAGGCATTTAAACTATTAACTTAAATTCGTTTATTTGTATTCCCAAAAATTTTTGTTGTCTTTTGTAAAACTGAATTTTTTAAATTCATTTATTGAGAGTCTACTCTTAAAAAAAACGAAGGCATTTAAACTATTAAGTTAAATTCGTTTATTTTTATTTCCAAAAAATCTTTTGTTGTCTTTTGTAAAACTGAATTTTTTAAATAAAACCCTTTGTTTTTATTTTAAATATAGATTTTGTTTTGTGGTCGTTTAACTTATTTATCTATGAATCTATTGAATTATTGCAAAGAAAATTTTTAATTACAGGTTTATTTTTATAATTTCCCTTAATAAATGCATATTTTTAACTACCATAGTATTTCATGTCAGAAGCTACATAATTTCAATTCTTATTAACATACATATATACTTATAATTTTATCCAAAATTATGTGAGTTCGTATTTTGTTTCCTTCTTTTACTACTTTACGTTTACTCAGAAACGACATATGACACCAGAGTGGTGTCCAGTTGAAGTATAAAATAAATTTATTTTTCGCTGTGTAAAGGCAGATCAGCGATGGCGTAATCCACGGCCAGTGTGATAACAGCGCAGACATTGCAAAAGAGGCAATCTCGGGCAGAGACTCGCCAGACCGGTGTGCCCCGCAAAGGGGGCGTGGCCAGCAGCGCAGAGTACCACCCCGACTTTTCCGGGCCCCTCTGGAGCTTTCCACAATATCCCGCCGGCGGCTGAATATGCAGTGGGCGGCACGTAGCACGAGCGGCAAATGCAACGGCAGCAAAGTGGTGGGGTCTTATCTTATCAGAGCGCAAGCCAAACATATAGTCCATATGCTTCAGCGGCAAGAATCAAATCGAATCGAAGCGACTGGGAACTGGGAACCGGGATCGAATCGGATCGCATGAGAGCGACGGAGCAAAGACCCAAGTGGAACCGAAAAAGCAAAATGCTCGGCTGTATGCGGACACATGTTACTTGAGCGCAGCGAGTGCCGCATAAAGTCAGTTTGGCTCGTTGTGCCAGAGCAGCAACAAGTGCCCCGCTATATTTGAATCCGAATCCGAATCCGAATCTGAAACATAAGCTGTGGCTGTAGCTGTAGCTGAAACTGAAATTGAAACTGAAGCGCAACAAGTGCTTAAAGAGATATTCAGAGAAGAGTGCTTGGGAGGCTGTGAAATAAATTCAAATTAGTCGGCAATTTCATCAAATTAACAGAGGGCCCAACGAAACCGAGCGCAATAAATTAATTAAGACGGAGATAAAATTGCAACTGCATTGGCTGCCAAGAGTATTTGTGGGCAAAAGTGAAAGCGACCAGGTGACAGAATGCTGCTCAAAGGCGCGCAACTGCTGCGATGCGGGTGAGTCTAATGGGATTTCGTGGGATTGGCGGGATTCCAGGTTGTCAATACATCGACAGGTTGCAATTGGGTGGTAAATCAATGGACTTCGTTTGGTTCGATAGCTGAATACCCTCTAGGCACGAAGAAATACAAAAGTTAAGTGCTTAAGGGATAAAGAGTTACCTTTTTATAAACATATAGACCCCACAGGGGACCCAAAAAATATCTGAGATTATAAAGTAGTATCTATCAACTACTAATCAGCATTAAAAATAAGTTTGTTTGTTTATCTAATCACCTTAAAGGGTACTTCATAAAAACAAAACACTTCTTATCTAATGGGAATGCTAATAGTTTTTAATATATAAATAATTTGTTTTGAAGCAAAACATCAAGATTAAAGGGTATGCTCAATAAATATTAAGTGACAATATGAGATTCCATGTATAAACTTATGAACTTTAAGGCTGATTATTTCAATTGGTCAATTTTGTTTTCTATTAATATTATACAACTGGCAAATGTTTTAGATTAGACAACAATTTCTCAACGCAAAATGCTAAAAGAAATATTTGAAAAACGTCGTTCATAAATCTGTAAATAAAGGGAGTACCAATACAATTATAATAGATATGTTCTTAAACAGTTAAATATTATAATTTATTATATATCCTCTTAAGTTATAGTAAAAAACAAAACACCCGTAATTTCTGATTTGAGGGGTATGCAAATAACATTGTGTGGTCTACTCGTCTTACAAGCCCTAAGGTTAATCCCACTTAGTATTTGCCATTCATTAGTAACTTACCTATCTCAACTTGTGTTTGTTACTAGTAGTTATGATTCACTATCGCATGGCGGGAAAATTCCACGCTCTCGACGTCGCCGTTACACTTCCATTCACGTAAACAAGAGGCATAATCATCCCCAGCAACCGACATCAATGTTAATGTCATCTATAAAGCTTCCAAGATCATTGCACTCGTCGCTAAATAAAGAGTTCTTAATCTCTTAGTGGCTGGGTTTTCGCATACATCTCTCTTTTGCAAAAGCTCTGATTTATTGTAATAGTAATTTTATGTTTACACATACTAGGGAGTAACGAACTTATCATAAGATTTTGAACAAATATTTTTGTTTGGGGTTAAACATTTCTTTGACCTACAGCTTTTGTTTTCTCTTACACTGGAAAAAAATGTATCGATCCTAGGTTTTATTATTTAAAAATATAAATTTAAAAATTTTTGTATTCTTTTGTTAAAATATCAACCTTTGGAGTTTATACAAATTATTATATATTTTATTTGTATTTATAAATGCTTTGTTTTATTACTTAGAGCCTCAACAGGGTTAGGTCAAAATAAAAATAAGTTTTAGTTAAATATGTAAATTAAGAAATGAAAGTAATTAAACTATGCATAAAATAACATTCAAAATATATTAAATTGGTAGTGGTGATGGCTTTTTTAAATTGTTTTTTAAAGAGTAAAGAACTTTAAGTATTGTTATTGCTGATAACAACTAAAAAAAGAAATATTTTTCCCTGCCTACTTTCAGGCGACAGGTTGGTGACCAAAGCCTTAAAAGTTCTCTTGGTGCGCCTGTGTTTATGCAACACTATTTTCTAAAACGTTTTGTTCAATGAAAAGCTATTCGATTCCCGCCTCTTCTTTTGTTTCTGCCTTTATCAGCGTTTCTTTATTATTTTTGTAGTTTTGTTTTGGCTCGTTTTCTCAGTGTGTGCGAGTGTGTATCTGTGTGATCGCTGGCAAGTTGTTCGACTGGCTCTGCCTCTCTTTTGTGTGTTTGTGTTTATGTGTGTGGGTGTGACGCTATTAGGCGGGCAAAATAAAAACAAAGCACTGCATGTATGGGTTTTTTTCAGGCCGCCTAGCAACAAAAAGTCTCGAAATCTTTGTCAAACTGTTGACTTTTTTTTGCTTTTGGCTTCTGTTTTGATGGGGTGGCGTGTTTTGGCGTATTTTGGCGATAAACCCACTCATAACACAACTGCAGCAGCTAATTCTCCTTCATAACACTCATGTTTTGCCTTTTTTAGAGTTAGTAGGAGGTATCCAAGAGATACTTTCCCGTTTCGTTGAACTGCCATTGACGATAACCTTTAGACAAAGCGACGACTGCGAAATAACAACAAAAATAAATAATATTATTGTTGACGACGCGTGTCTAAATCTTTATTTTTTTGCAGGCCGAGCCCCCGTTCGCCATATTTGCCATAGCAAATAGCTACATTTATGCAGTGCGAAAATCAAAACAATTTCTTAAATATAATAAATGTTATTCCTGCTTATCGGTTGCGAGGGACACGCGCCTTTTTCGAAGGCCCCATCGATCAGGGATTGCTTTACTGAACATAGGAAATAAGGCTCCTAGTCTGTTAATGATGTCTTATCAGTTAATGGTTTGTTTACCACCCATTCCCAGAATACCCAGAAACTTCTAGATAAGATTCCTCGGTAATAATGACGCTTCGTTTGCTAGATTTCCCAAAAAGTGAATCATCCCCATTCATTGAACAAGCTGCATGCAACCAATTACAGCTTTTCTAAGTAGATTTCACTCCATGTAATTCGTGGAATCAACCAGACCAGACCAGACCAGACCCCCATTCAACCATTACCTTATACACAGTATACCACTCGCGGAATACTTTAATCTACAAATACGTACATTTCAATATGGAAGCGTGGGCAGTCTGGTACCGCTTATCAGTCGGTAAACAAAATACGAAATTAGTTGCCTCTATATTTGTGGACTTTGATATGCGGTAATAAGCATTCTACTACAGCATTCTATAGGTACGAATGTATATACTATCCTCCAGACTGGGAGCAATAAAATCCAGTTCACACTGGGTACACTTTATGCGTAGTTTATGGAGAGCAGAAATTTATGGTAACAAAGGTAGAACAAGGAGTCTAGGAACATTGGACTATGATTACTCATTTAGCAACATGTTCTTTGTTATTTTTAAACATTTTTATTAATAAAGTTTCCTTAGGAATTTATAAAACGTGTAAATTCTAGATGACGCAGATTATAATCTAGCTAGTGGAAAACTTTGCATCTGAGGAACTGATAGTCATTTTTCCTCTTAGTAAATCCCACGTCAAAGCTGTTGTTAATAGCTTAAACGTATTTTGATTTAAAACTAAATAGTTTTTCTACGCAAACTTGCTACTTGTAGCTTAAGTGCCCATAAAAGTCTGGTCACCACCCCTCGATGGTCTACTGAGTCCTCGAAATGATAAGCCGCAGATTGTGGCTGCCCTTCGCCTTCATTTGGTATTTGGTATTTGGTATGGGATTCTTTCATCCAATCTAAGGCGAAGGGCCAAGGCTAATGAACCCTCTGATGGAACCAGTTTCGTTTATTTCGTCAGACTTAAGTACAGTTTTCGGTTGTGGAAAATCTGTTGAATCAGCTGACACCCCCATGACTGTTGCCAAGTGTTCTTTGGGGGGACATTTCGTATCCCACTAACCGTGGTATTAATAGACTGATATGTTCTTTTTCCATATAAAACCACACACATCAGAGGAACACGCGCTGGCTGAAAATTCAACGAATGTATTTAATGCTTGTTTTTGCAATAAAAAAACCAAAATAAACGCGTAAACAAGAAGAGGAAGTCTACGAAGTGGGGAAATACACTTGATTCGCAGATAAATGCTTACTCATTGAATGGGTCACAAGCTAATGGTTAATTTTCAACAACTTTTTGGTAGGGTATAGGTGGCCAACTGTGCGGATTGGTCAACATTCGTGGCGTCATGAGAAGGCTATAGTTGCCATTTCAAAAGGCCAGGGGAAATTCTCGCGCCCATTCCGCGACAACGAAGTGCTCTGTGTTATCTCCCAAAATAGCATCGAATACGCAGCGAATTTTCAGCTTCCAATTGAGGCGCGTGTCCCTAATCAAATCCACTGCGACAAGTCGAGTGCTGCCCAAATAATTAGCTGCTGGTGTCAACAGCGATACTCGAGCGGTGCGATTTGGTTTGAAGCGGTTCGCCCATTAATGCTCTTATCAATATCATGCTAAACTGCTTGACTATTTAACAAGAGTTCCACGAATACCGAGCCTAACAAACAAAGTTCTCACACGCAAACACCACGATAAAAGCCAGACGCATGCCATGAAAAACCCAAACAAAAGCCAGTTAATATGATCATACTAAATTATAATTTTCATTCAATTTAGCGACTTAATTTGTCATCTTCGGCTATTCAGGGTCTAGAATTGGCAAAGTTGAGACATTGAGAGACATCGCTGGGTTTATCATTCACCTCACATGCCCCGACCATGCAGACAACTTATGCTAATATAAACCAGGCCAGATTGGTGACACTTATAGTGTATATATTTGTGTATGCAGAGTGTCTGACGGAGAAAACTGCGCAGTTCCGAAACTACAAAACATACATTAATTTCGGGGGGGATTTCTACAGTTCATCTGACGTCACAAGTGGGGCAACCCTGATCGCGTGTAAACGATTATTCCGAATTGGAGGGGGAGATTCGCTAGACTTTGAACCCCATGTAACCGAGAGCTGTCTAGCATGTGTGATCGGGTGGGTCTTTTTCGAGTCCGACTGTCTGACCCAGAGACATGTGTACCTCGGCGATATCTGCCGGAAACGAGGTGTACCAGTAGATACCACCAGGCTACCTGCTCTTCGCCTATCTGCCAAAACCAAAACAGAGAGCACAAAAGAGCATTACCCGAGGCCGCAAAAAGATGATGAAAGATTGCATCATGCTGCCGGGGGAACACCAACTGAACCCGCTTCTAATGAAAGTGATGTGGGCTGGCCGCAATACGAAGGTTGGTCCTCCATCTCCAATCCCCATTCCCCAATCCTCATACCCCAGATCATCGAGCTCTGTGCAAATTGCGGCGAGCAAGTTTCTCGAGTTTGGAGTGGAGCTCTCCAAAAACCTGAACGACCAGACGAACAGCTGATCAGCCAGTTTGGCTGTATCTTTTCTGTTTGTATTTCGATTTTGTTTTATTTGTATTCGTTTCTTTCGCGGCACTGGCTCTTTTCCAGCGGCGGTGCGTTACCGCTTAGAATTTCAAATTCACGTTACGAGGTCCGCCAAGGGGGTACAGTTGTGCTCGCTGCGAGTAGTCAGCTGTACGACCGGAGGTAGCTGTAGGTGGAGTATCTGAAAAGGTCTTTATCATTGGTTAAACAGTTGGGTGGAGTGTTTGCCTTACCTTTTAACCTAACGGTTCCCTAACCTAGGGTAATATTGCTCAACATTTTGTATTTTGTTTACCTATTAATATCCAATGTTTTAATACCAATATTCCTTTATTGCAACACTTTTTATTAAAGTAACCTTTGAAAAACAGAAATTAAAAGTGTTTTATCTTTGCTAGTAATATAATCCATTTTTATTTTTTAATTATTATAATAAGAGTTTTAGGAGATATTACTCGTATTTAAGTAGATTTATGTTGTTGCCTTTCCTGGTAATAAAATTCTTACATTATAACTATAGTAGAATTTAATCTAATGCAGTTTTGTTAAAATAAAATATGATTAGTTAATGCTTTTATTTTTCATTGTGTGATATTAGTTCCATGAGTGCTGCATTTGTTTCTTAATTTCTTAATGTCTTTCTTTCAGTTTGGTCTCTCCAGCCCGGAGTTACAATTTCCGGCTGACCTGTCGCTTCCTGTCCGTCCAGTATGGAGATGCCAAGGTGCTCACTCCCGCCGTGAAACAGTATGTGGAGAAGTGCGTGGATCTCTGCCAGCCGGAGAGGGTACACATCTGCGATGGGACCGAAAGTGAGAGCAAATTGCTCCAGGGTCTAATGCTGAAACAGGGAACCATAATTCCACTGCCCAAATACGAGAACTGCTGGCTGGCACGAACTAATCCGACGGATGTGGCCCGAGTGGAGGGCAAGACGTTCATCTCCACGGATTGCAAGGAGCAGACTGTTCCGGTGACGGAGAAGGCCACACCGGGAATGCTGGGCAATTGGATGGCGGAGGAGGACCTGCAGGCGGCGATCAAAGAGAGATTTCCCGGCTGCATGAAGGGACGCACCATGTACGTCATTCCATTCAGCATGGGTCCAGTGGGATCACCCCTCTCCAAAATTGGCATCGAAATCACAGACTCTCCTTACGTCGTGGAGTCCATGAAGATCATGACACGGGCAGGCAATCCGGTGCTGGAATATCTGCAATGTGGAGATGGCCAGTTTGTCAAGTGTCTGCATTCGGTGGGAACTCCTAAGAGTGGCACCCAGGTGATGCCATCCTGGCCCTGCGATCCCGAGCGCACCATTGTCCTGCACAAACCAGCGGAGAATGAGATTGTGTCTTATGGTTCCGGCTATGGTGGCAACTCGCTGCTGGGCAAGAAGTGCTTTGCCCTGAGGATTGGCAGCACCATTGCGAAGAGGGAGGGTTGGCTGGCCGAGCACATGTTGATCCTGGGAATCACGAATCCGCAGGGCAAGAAGATTTACATAGCTGCCGCTTTTCCATCCGCTTGTGGCAAGACCAACCTGGCCATGATGACACCAACGCTACCTGGTTACAAGGTGGAGTGCGTGGGTGACGACATCGCCTGGATGAAGTTTGATAAGAAGGGAGTGCTGCGAGCGATTAACCCAGAGAATGGATTCTTTGGCGTGGCACCTGGCACCTCGAGGGCCACCAATCCCATAGCCATGGACACGATATTCCGGAACACGGTCTTCACGAATGTGGCCTCCACATCCGATGGAGGTGTTTACTGGGAGGGAATGGAGAAAGATCAGCTGAAGGGGGTGACAGTAACAGATTGGCTGGGCAAACTCTGGTCTCAGGAGTCGGGAAAGCCGGCTGCGCATCCCAACTCCCGCTTCTGCACACCCGCCTCCCAGTGTCCCATCATTGATCCCGCCTGGGAGGACAGCGAAGGAGTGCCCATCTCGGCCATCCTCTTCGGAGGACGTCGTCCCACTGGAGTGCCCCTGGTGTACGAGGCGCGGGACTGGAAGCACGGAGTCTTTATTGGCGCCGCCATGAGGAGTGAGGCCACCGCAGCTGCTGAGTTCAAGGGCAAGGTGATCATGCACGATCCCTTCGCCATGAGACCCTTCTTCGGCTACAACTTCGGTGACTATCTGGGTCACTGGCTGAGCATGGAGAAGCGGGGACAGGTGCCCAAGATCTTCCATGTCAACTGGTTCCGCAAGAGCGATGAGGGCAAGTTCCTGTGGCCCGGATTTGGGGAAAACTCTCGCGTTCTGGACTGGATCTTCAGGCGGGTGGAGGGGGAGAAGTGCTTCGAGGACTCACCCATTGGCCGCTTGCCCAGCAAGGATTCACTGAATCTGGAGTGTCTGAAGGAGAAGATTGATCTCGGGCAGCTGTTCGATCTGCCCAAGGACTTCTGGGAGCAGGAGGTGTGCGCCATCGAGAAGTACTTCGAGGAGCAGGTGGGCCACCACCTGCCGGAACCCGTGGCCGAGCAGCTCAGGGAGCTGAAGGCGCGTGTGGCCGACATGTGATGTGTGTGTTCCATAGGTTACCCCCTAATCTAAGACCCAATTGCCTAAAATAAAACGAAACGAACGAGATTTTTATAGCGAAATTCGACTTGTGGCATTGTTTGGGAATGGAAATGGAATGCGAATGGGATTCGATTTGGGATTGGGGCGTGGCTTGGAGGTCGCTTATCAGTGGTCGCCGAGGCGGAGGCCCGTCCGCAATTGGCGTAAACAAGCGTATAAATCCATAATGCCGTTTAACCTAACTTATCAACAGATCGGGGCAATGAAAAACAAGCAAATAAAATGCCAGAAGAAGCCAAAATACTTTATGGAAGAAATGTTTTTTTTTTTTTTTTTTTGGGGCTCGTTGGGTTGCCATGGCCTGATTGCAAAATTGGAAGCGTGTGGTGTGATGTACACTTTGGGGTGCAAAGTGATAAGAAATCGAAAAATCAAAAGACCAAGAAACAAAAGGCTAGGAAACCAAGTTAAAAACCTTCTAATAGTTCCTAGCCCAAGAAAAGTCCCCTTTAAAAACCCTGCTACTGGTTGATGATTTTCCTTGGAAAATTTTACTGGTCAACAACACAGATCCGGGTCTGATCTATTTTTGCACGAGCTCAGAGGCTCGTCCACTGATAACCCACCCGGCCGTCCCACATCGATCCCCAAACAGATCGCATATTGATTATGTATATATTCCGCTTTTCGATCGTCTATTGACGTAAATTCCGACTAAGCCCGACTCATCGAAATGCGCCAACTGAATTCGCAAAAGGTGAGAACAGGAGCGAAGCAGTTAAAGTCTGAATCTGAATCCGAGTCCAAGTCTGGGTCCAGCAATTAACGCCGATGATGAAGATTATCAGGCCCAACTAGAAAAACAAGTCCATAGTTTATAAATAAACCAACCAAAAAACGAGGCGACGCGTGTAGACGAATTCGATTAAATTCGAAACTGGACAAGTCGTAAAGGGAGCCAAAAAAGAGGGTGGAGGGGAGGATGGAGGAGCCAAGGACCAAGGACCACTGGCTGACCAGGTTTCACAAGGCCATTGGGCAACAGTCCCTTCTGGGTCTAGGCTAAGTGAGCGGTAAAGGAACCTGATTGCCAACGGTCACCAGAAGTGGTAATTGCAACGGGGAATACAATATGTACATGCACTTTGTGATAGCTCTTTCCTTTGTCAGTAACTTGTACATTTATTAACATTTATTTGCCTGATTTATAACAAATTGATATGTGAAAAGAGGTATGTTCTTCTGGCAGCTGAAAAATAACGAATAATAAACCAAAATATAAATAAACACCCACATAAAATGCTAATAACATGCATATGTAGGTGAGGGGTTTCAACTTGAAACAGCTGGGTAACCAGAACGACTCTTTAAAAATCAAATTGTATTTTAAATTTTTATATTTTATGGGTAACAATCGTCATATTCCAAGAAAATGTATTATTACCTAAAACTTTTTCGAATGGGGGACCAGTTTCGGTGAACTTTTTCTGTGAGTGGCCGAGGATTCTGGGGCTTCTTGGTAACTGGATTGAGGGGCAAAGTCACCCCACCAGCAGCACCTTCATTTCTCCTTCCCCAGACACAAAAACAAAGGAGAGGCCACATGACAACCATTTGGGCCAGGCTATTCTTGGTGTGGCAAAACACACAAAACACACAAGAGTCACATGAATGCTGGCCTCCAAGGCGGCCATGGCCAATTCGAGGAGGCCGGGACTCATCTGGTTTGGCAAAAGGGGGGCGGATTAGCATACAAATTTTCCGTCACCGATTCTGCAAATAAGCGAAAGTTTTTTCGATTTGGCATAGTGCCCAAAATGAGACGTATAGTAAAAGACATGTGGTCAGCAGGCGTAGGAGGGCGCGTGTGGTGGAGGCCCAATGTTGCATTCGAGTGTGTGTGTTGCAGCCATAGAGGCATCCAGAATTTACCCAGTTGCTCGATGAGAGACAACTGCTGTTGCCTCAGCTGTCCATGAACTGGTTTCTATTTTCACTCTGGTCGTATTCGTTTCGCATAAAATCATAAACAAAATAATTAAATTAACAACGCGAAAGTGGCAAATATCAGGGTGTCAAAATAACAACAAACGCTTATCAATGCAAACGCACTAGAAAATACTCTCGATACGAGGAGTATACGAAAACAAGAGTCTGCTGTTGCCAAGCGGTGACATACCCCATACCCCTTATACCCCCCATTCCCCTTATACACACACATATTATGTAGTATACCCCACCTCATCGACACTGTGAAAAACCAAAACAATCGCCGAGCCTCCGCCGAACAACCAATCAGCTCGTCCGGAGTTTGACCCTCCCGCTCGGCGATTCGGTGATCGTAAACCCGATTCCACGAGGCGATCGCCGACTTGTTCTAGTCGCCTCGACGACGAGGCGTCCCCGGCAGAGTATAAAAGGCCCCGGATCGCCGCAGTTGGCATCAGTTACTCGTGGCCAGAGTAAATGGAAAGATCAAGTGAAAAGCCTACTTTCAGTGGTCTGAAAACCGAGTTGATGTTTGACAAAAAACTGTGGAAGAACATATGAACGTAAAGTCTTCGCTAGTCTAAAAAAGCAAAAAAAAAAAAAATTGTGATAATTACCCATTGTGATAAGCGAATTAAGCAAAGTGCCAAAAACTCTTTAGCGCCATTAAAAGCGAACAACAAAATCTAATATATTCCAAAGTTTTTGAGAGAAATCCATAAAAATACAAAACAAGCAAAATGCCTGAGCTCATTGAACAAAGCAAAATTATGTAAGTATATTAAAAGAGGTCACTGAAAATGCATTGAATGGGGGAAATTTAATGGCAATTAATAATTAATGCAGTGCATTATTTGGGGTGCCACGAACAAAAGCCAGTTAATTAATTTGTAATTTTCCATTTTTCTCTTCAGCTCCGGCAATGTGTGCGGTGTGCCCCAGTTGCACAAGTTGCGCCAGGACAATTGTGGTTTGTACAGCCACATCCGTGGCATTCCCATCTCCTATGGAAATGTGGACTCGCTGACCGCCGGAGTGCGCAGCTTCGTGGAGGAGGGAATCGCCATGTGCCAGCCCGACCAGGTGCACATCTGCGATGGCAGCGAGCAGGAGAACAAGATGCTCATCAAGGTCCTGCTGGAGGCGGGTACCATTGTGCCGCTGCCCAAGTACGAGAACTGCTGGCTGGCCCGCACCAATCCCGCGGATGTGGCCCGCGTCGAGTCGCGCACCTTCATCTGCACGGAGCGGCGAGAGGAGACGATTCCCACCCCGTTGGAGGGCGTCAAGGGCGCCCTGGGCAACTGGATCTCGCCCAGCGACATGGAGGAGGCAGTGCAGCAGCGGTTCCCCGGCTGCATGAAGGGTCGCACCATGTACGTGGTGCCCTTCAGCATGGGACCCGTGGGTTCGCCACTCTCCAAGATCGGCATCGAGATCACCGACTCCGCCTATGTGGTGGCCTCCATGAGGATCATGACCCGCATGGGTGCCGCCGTCCTGCGGCAGCTGGCCAAGAAGGAGGAGTTCGTCCGGGCCCTGCACTCGGTGGGTGCCCCTGCCAACGGACAGGTGGAGCAGGCCTCCTGGCCCTGCGATCCCGAGCGCACCATCATCCTGCACAAGCCCGCCGAGAACCTGATCGTGTCCTATGGATCCGGGTATGGTGGCAACTCGCTGCTGGGCAAGAAGTGCTTCGCCCTGAGGATTGGCAGCACCATTGCCAAGCGCGAAGGATGGCTGGCCGAGCACATGCTGATCCTGGGCATCACTGATCCCAAGGGCGTGAAGAAGTACATCACGGCCGCCTTTCCCTCGGCCTGTGGCAAGACCAATCTGGCCATGCTGAATCCCTCGCTGGCCAACTACAAGGTGGAGTGCGTGGGTGACGACATCGCCTGGATGAAGTTCGATAAGGAGGGAGTGCTGCGAGCGATTAACCCCGAGAATGGATTCTTTGGAGTGGCTCCCGGAACCTCGATGGAGACCAATCCCATTGCCATGAACACTGTGTTCCAGAACACCATCTTCACGAACGTGGCCTCCACCTCCGATGGCGGTGTCTTCTGGGAGGGCATGGAGAGCAGTCTGGCCCCCAATGTCCAGATCACCGACTGGCTGGGCAAGCCCTGGTCCAAGGAGTCCGGCAAGCCGGCCGCTCATCCCAACTCCCGCTTCTGCACCCCGGCTGCCCAGTGTCCCATCATCGACGGAGCCTGGGAGGACAGCGAAGGAGTGCCCATCTCGGCCATCCTCTTCGGAGGACGTCGTCCCAATGGAGTGCCCCTGGTGTACGAGGCGCGGGACTGGAAGCACGGAGTCTTCATTGGCGCCGCCATGAGGAGTGAGGCCACCGCAGCTGCTGAGTTCAAGGGCAAGGTGATCATGCACGATCCCTTCGCCATGAGACCCTTCTTCGGCTACAACTTCGGCGACTACGTGGCCCACTGGCTGAGCATGGAGAAGCGGGGACAGGTGCCCAAGATCTTCCATGTCAACTGGTTCCGCAAGAGTGCCGAGGGCAAGTTCATGTGGCCCGGATATGGCGAGAACTCCCGCGTGCTCGAGTGGATCCTGCAGAGGATCAATGGTGAGTCTGGCTTCGTGGACTCGGCCATTGGACACATTCCCGCCAAGGGAGCCCTCAATCTGACTGGCATGAAGGATGAGGTGGATGTGGAGGAAATATTCTCGCTGCCCAAGGAGTTCTGGGCGCAGGAGGTCAAGGACATCCGCACCTACTTCGAGTCGCAGGTTGGCGCCGATCTGCCAGCCAGCATTTACCAGCAGCTGGACGAGCTCTCTGTCCGCGTTGCCAGCCTTTAAGATGGATCAAATGAGAAGCCCCAGAACTTAAACATCTTTACCCGCCCCAAATACCTGCTCACCATCCGTACCATCCCGTACCGACCCACATACTCACCCCAATATGTTATCCTGTCCTATATCCTATACCCCAACACCTTATTTAGTCGTTTCTCTAGTGCTTAAGCCGAAGACTTCCAAACTATTTATTATATAAGCAGCTTTAAGTTTAGATAGTAAGTCAACCAACAAACAACTGAAAAAATAAAACAAGACGATTTTATAACCTACAAATTGATTGAGTATTTACTTAACACGGGGAATATTCGGGCATCTGGGCGTTATGGTCTTTTTTACCAAATCAATTATATAAGTTTATATTCATTTCTTGGTAATTCACATAAAAGACAGTTCGTCGATTTTTTTGCCGATGAACAAGAAAGCAAACAAAGGCCGAACAATATAATTCTATATTATTAAAGGAAAATTCCTAAGCTAGTTATATATAGACTAAAAGATTAATAAAATCATGACTTATAAATTAATTGCTAATAAATTTCAAATGCTATAATAGATTAAAGATGTTTTTGCAGTAGTCTCTAATTTTTTAAACAAAGCATGCCTTCGTCTTTGCTAATTAGTATCACCTTTATTAATTTGGTTCCATTAGTTTATTTATTTATAAGCCCTAAGCTTGAACACTTGGTTTATTGGCTTTAATTTTTTAGATTATTTAGAATCCATAGGCGCGGTCAGCTTTTATAATCATCTTTAAAAATATTCAATCGCTTTCTATAGAACGCATTTTCATAATACAAAGCTCCATCTAAAAAGAATCAAATTTGACTACTGGAGACTTCGCGTCGTAGAATAGGTTTCACCCTTTATAACCAAAACGTAGATAATATAATAATAATCAATAATTGGTAAGTTAGGTAATTTAGTTAAATTGATATTGCGATTTAATTAATTAATGAGTTTATTATTTTAAAACATTCATAAGTTCAGTGCGAACTTGAAATTCGTTGTAAAGTACTTTTCTTTTAAATATATAAAAGACTTCATTCCCATGGGTTTTATGTTTATTCTTCAATCTATACTACTTTATATAATACAATTTTTAATAGACATTTCATTAAACATTTATTTGACTCTGATTATATAACATAAATCCGTTAGCTGGTGATTCCCCAATAGTCTCCTGCAACGGCAGTCTTAACCATTGCAATCGGCAGCTTTCACCGGCTCCGTTTTCCAGCCCAATGGAAGGCCGTGAAAAGCTTGGCTAGCTGAGCTTTTCCAGCACTCTTCGGGTACGTCGTATAGTCGGGAATCGGGAGCCAGGAAAATCGCAGCCAAGTCGCCGAGGGGAACCACAGTTCAGCTCGAGCCGCCGCCGCCGCAGCTTCGTTCGGGCGGAAGTTAGTGAGTGTGGCAGTCGCCAGCGGAAACGGAAGTGCAGAAAGCATCGAGCGGCTGGCCGTGCAAACTGTTGCTCGTCGTTGTGTTGGTGTTGGTATCGCAGTATCGCCGTATCGGTGTGTCCGTGTGTTTGTCTTGGTGGCATTGTTGGTGTTGGACAATTAGCAAAGTTGCCATAATAGACCGAATTATCCGACAAATTTGATGAAAATGGTAAACATTAAATTGTAATGCGGCACGCGGAGTAAAAGTGAGTTTGAGTTTGTCTTAGTGGCTCTGTTTCAGTGTGTGTGTGTGTGCGTGAGCCGTGTCTGTCTGTGTGTGTGGCACTTTATAAGCTGCGATTTGACATGTTGATTTATGCGCTGCTCTCACTTTGCCCCCAAACGGCAATTGCCACCCTCAAACCCCCACCCACCAACCGGGATTACCCGTGTCCTGTGTCCCTTTTAACACCACTTCGTCCCTATTTCACTGCGGCACTTGTTGCGCTCACAGGACATTCGCTTAATTGCTAATCCTCGCGCCCAGACGCGTCTAATTACACGTAAGTTTGCGCCATTTCTGTCTATCCAACGACATCACTTTGCCCACCCGCCGGGCATTTAAAGTGCAAATTGGCAGGCCTTCGGGGGCATTGAATGACTGAGTGTAGGCATAGTGGTGTGTGGGGGGGTTGAAAAGCCGCCCGGAGGTCACTTAATATGCCATCAACATGAGATTTGCACAAATGGCCCGGCCTCAAGAATTATGTGTTGCAATAAAATCGATGTGTAGGCGGAGCTTCGGGACTCAAGTGGCGGCTAATGACCAACTTGCGACGTGACTTTGGCCAGGATTTGTTATTTGCGAACTGACCAGCAAAGAACCAGTCTGACCACTCCCCCCTCCCCCCTCACATACACATATTCCTCGATCTTAAGTGTTTTATGGACTTTCCTTGTTTGTGCTGTACACACACACAGTTTATTTTTACAGCAGAGACAAGGAGGAGAAAGTGCCCCATTGGCCAAGGGTGGGTGAGTAGATAGGGACAGTAGGAATTGTAGGGACAGTGGGGTGGTGTTAAGTATGCGTTTAACGGGTGCGGGCTTAATTACAAGCAAAGTTTACCAAAGGGTTGTCCGAGAACTTCTTTATGACGGAGAGGAGGCCTGCAATTTAATGACGGTCCGTGCAGGAAGACTCATTACTCTTGCCACCTCGAATGATGATGGTCGGGGCCGAGCCGTAAAGGCCAAAAGGAAGAGCCGCAGACGGAAAACGGAAAATGGAAAGCGAAAGGCGGAAAAGGTGCCAGTGCAGGCGGGCCCGAAGCCATAAACCGGATTGAAGCCCAACCCACAAGCTGGCATTTGTATATGCAAATGCAGCTTAACCCCAGTCAAATTATCCACACATCGTTTCATGCCATGCATAACTTATGGGCCAGGTAACTCTCAGTTTAAAGTCTCTGTGGAATCCATCAATAATTCCATCCACACCGAGTACAAAAGACTCACATTTCTTTTATAATTCAGAAAATCTGTAGCAATTATTATCTTACACAAGCTTTACCTTTTCTCGGGAAACCCAAGGCCCCAAGGACCCTCAACTAATACAATAAGCTGGCCGAAATCTCCCAATGGCCCCCAACTCGTTGGCCTTTATGCATACACAATTCCGCATGAAAAAAGCCGATGCGGACCGAACTATTGAGGATTTGAATGCGTCCAAAGAGAAACGACAGATATTCCTATTGATTTGTTGTCTGCAGATTTTCCCAAAGCCAGAACGAGAGAGAGAGAGAGTGAGCCAGGTGAGGAGTGGACTCTGGGCCACTTCCCCATCAACATTTTGTTATCATCCTCGAACCATGTCCCCCCATCCCGATCCCGATCCCGATCCCCGTCCCCATTCCCATTCCCATTGGTCGGTTCGATTCGTTGCGGTGGCAACACGCCATTATATTACGTGAAATGCAAAATACGAAAAAATGCGAATGGGGGAAAATGCGAAATGGTAGCGGAGGTAGAGAAACAACAAGTTGCCAAAACACTTGAATCAATCACTCGAATAATTGATGCCTTGTAAGTGGTATTTACGAAAAGATTGTCTCAAAGATTCGAGGGCTTTAGTGAAAACTTTTAAACGAACAACTTTTCCAGCCATGAATATGCAATGAAAGTTCTTTAACTCAGTCCAGGCAAAATTGAGTTAGTTTAATGAAGAAAATTAAGTTCACAAATATTTATTTTCGCTCTTTTAGGTTGCGTAGACATTGCCCCCAATATATTTTGTGATTGAAATACAAGCATAATAACGGAAATTCCTCAGTCAATAAACGCTCATGGCAGACTTTTGATGTTTACTTTTCGAAATCGAACGCCTACGCCTTAAATAGTTTGCTTACTTACTCAGAGTCTTTGGACTATTAAAATTTGCTATAGGAATTTATAAAATGTAACATTATTTGGTTAGAAATAACCATTAGTTATGGTACATTTAAAAAAAAAAAAAAAAAAATTGTTTAAATTTAATATTCTAATAATGTAAAGTATAAAATGGATATTTAACTTATAATCATAAGTAAATACCAAACATATTTAATATGTATCTTGTTTTATGTTAAAGCGATAAATGTGACTTAGGCAGATAGAAAATAGCGAATCATTTAGTGATTTTCGTAGTGAATACCTATGCAAACAAGTTAAAATTGGACATTTATCATTTAAGTCTGTTCAAGGTAGTTTCATTGTTGACCAATAATTAGTAGCCCGACAAAACAGTGACTAACTGATACAAAATGCACCTGAAATTCCACTTAATGAAGTTCGACTCAGTCACAGGACCTCTGTGAAAGGTGAGACCACAAAGGGCTTGCAGCCAACAGGTAAACTACCAGGTATGCTGCGACCGTTATTCCGGACTATTTGCTTTGCCGTATGGGCACGTACTCACGCAGTACGAATGTGTGTGTGTGTGGGGGGTGTGGGGTGTGTGTAGTGTTTAGTGTGGGTGCCCCGGCTATTTGTACACACGATAGATAATAATGGCTCGCAGGTCGGACGTGAGCCAGCAGTAGAAAGTGGAAATTCGAACGAGCCACGTGTTTCCAGGGGGAGAGCCAAGTGAAAGGTTAGCATATGCAACATATGCAACACCAATGATATGCAGGAATTGCTCATGTAAGTGCAACAATCGCCACTGGGGAGTGCAGAATCGTAAAACTAAAGTGCTGGGGCAACTTAACCCTGTTTTGCCATGCATGGAAAATCACTTGCCGGCTCAATTGGAGCTCCAGAAATGGCCAACACTTGTCATGGGCATAATCAAACTGCGTGGCAAAAGGGGGCGCCCAAATGTAGGCAACAGTTCGCGGCGGCACAAAACGCCCACTGGGCTAAACTTTAATAGCTGCAAGTCAAACTCGAAGCTGGCAAATCCCATTAGGGAACTGGGAACTTTGTTACCGCGCCGAACACCAACATGAAGTTTCCCGCAAGCGGATTGTTTGCAACTCAAGCGGGACGCGGGGGCAGGAAACTTTTGCATAAGTTAGCAGGGTGTTTGTGGGCGGTTTGCTATTTATGTGTGTGTGTGTGTGTGTACTAGAAGTGCTGACAGCTTGTGGTTGTGAATGGGTGGGGGGTGTAGGTGAAACGATAATAGGAGCAGCCACTTACGACACCATCTCCACCGATGGAGAACGCACATTTAACAATAATTGCCAGGCCAAATAGAGCACTTCCCCTGGTCTTCGTGCTCCCTGACCAAAGTCGGGAAATGACTTGCCGCCTTCCGGCCATCAGTCGTCCCTTTTTGCGGTCAACTTGTGGGTGGCATGTGGCATGAGGCATGTGGCGGTTAGCGGGTGGCGGGTGGTCGCGGCTCCTATTGCCCGCTTTTCATTATTTTGATTAAATACAGATAAAGCCATAAATTATGTTTACTTTGTGCCCATGCGGGCAGCGCTCCGGTCCGGGCGCACTTTTGTGTGTGTGCGGGATGAGTAATGGCCCATGATATTTACACATGAGTTGGCCATCAGCGAGTCGTTCCCATCTCATCTCATCTGCTCATCTCATCATCATCCTGCTAAATGCACAGGAAGAATATTACACATTTTATGTTCATATACTTTGCTTGGAGTGGAGAACGGCAGTTATGAAAACCAACATTCTTTATAATATTTATACTTTTCAACATAGTTTTAGTTTAGGTATTTAACTATAACTTTCCTAATTTAAAAGCTGTATTTCAAACATACTGCTAATATACTGTTTTGGAAAATGTCTAAAATTATATAGTTAAATTTATTAACCGTTTAACACTAAATATAATATCCTATACCATAATCATTAATCACTAAACATTAAAATAGCAAAAACCATTAATTACTTAGAACAAAAAATGCTCTGAGATTGTTACATGAACTTCTCTTAGTGCACTAAATACCATTTATTTCTCTGCACAGAAATTCTGAAATGGCTCAGCAACAACGCAGCTGGGATGAGGGAGCTGTCGGAGGAGGATCCTATGGCCATCCCCACTCCTCGCACCACAAAGTTCCGGCCCGGGCTTCCAGCAATCCGCTTCCCTGCAAGGGAGCCACTCCCAAATTGCCCAGGTGAGACCCAAAAATATTAAAATAGAATATATTTAGATAGCAAAACCCCAGCAGGCAATATCACGGTGCTCCATCACCGAATTACAGTTACGGGGGATACGAGACGCCAAGGAGCCCCAAGATCACCACCACCTATGCCCAAGATAGTTGCGATGATGCGAGTAGCTCCACGCCGAGCTCATACTATCAGACGCCACCTTCCGGATCCATAGATGACTCCGCCTCGCTGCTCAGTGGACGCACCACTGCCCGCAGTCCCAAGTCTCCGTGCCAGTTCGTCTTCGATGCAGTGAGTCCCAGTCACGGCAGGAAGTTTGAGTACTACGAACCCATATCACCCGACGATGGAGCCCTCTATTACGATCCTCCCAGTTCGCCACGTCGTCAGGGATCCAAGAAGGTGATGAGGACAAAGACTCCACTGGATCCTGTTCCCCAATTAACAACTACGGGTGTGGATGAAAGCATGGCGGTGGCCATGGCAATGGGTGGAGGTGGAGGTGGATACTCCCAATCGGGACAGAATAAGCGACAGCGGGATGAATGGGAACTACCGGTGATCAGCAAGATCGAGGCCAGGAACTTGAGTGCCGCTGCATCCGCCGCAGGAGCAGGATCAGGATCGGGATCGGGTGGGGGAAACTACTACGGCCTGAAGCGCGACTCCTGCGTCACTGACTGCACCCAGCTGTCCATGGAATCCGGCGAGACGGGCACCCAGCACACCAACAGCACCATGGTGACCCACACCACCACCAGTTTTAGTTTCACAGAGCCGGAGATGGATCAAGATCCTGGACAGCCGCAGTCGCATCGCCAGCGCCGCCATGCCATCAACATCACCTCCAATCCCGGCTACCAGGTGCTCCACAGCTCCCACTCCACTTTGGACCGTACCTGTTCGGATAGCGTGGTCTCACTGCGCTACCGCAAATCCACCAGTGACCTGACCCAAGATGCCGACCACGAGCTGAGTGGCTGCAAGCCGGCCAAGCCGAAGGCCCATGTGGAGCACAAGCCACGCCGCAGGGGCAGCTCCAAGGGGGGATTGGCCTACCTGGCCAGTCGGCGCAGCTCCCGGGAGTCGATGAAGAGCGCCTGCTCCAACGCCTCCATCGTGTCCAACGACGACGTGGGTCCACTGGCCTTCCAGAGCTCCAATCGCGGTCGCCAGCGCAGAACATCCAATTTTCTTGAGTTGCCAGGTGAGAGGATTTGTTTTTTTACAAGTTCATGTTGAGGAAAATAATCTTTGTTTAAGAATAGAGTCTATTTAACCCTTAGGGACATACAAATTGGTGTTTGATTTTTTTGACAAAATTGTAACTTAGCCAAAATAAGGTTAAGCACAGACTATTTTGTGCAGCTGATGACCTAAACTATCAATCGCCATAAGTTTCCAAGCATTTCATTATTCATTTTTAAGAAATAATAAAAGAGTTAATTTTTGAATACCAACTGATTGGGAATTTAATAACGAGTTTTACGAGGTACGTTTGGACATTGTATTTGCATAATATCCTCTGTAAGAGTAAACAAAATATTAACAAATATTGGTCGTCCGTGGTTATTGGGTTATTCTATAAAAATGATATAATAACATTGCTTAGTCTTCACAAATTATTCGAAAATTCTCAATAGGGTAACATCATATAAATTATAAAAAAACGGCACCACAAAATGTGTTAAAATGACCAATATCAACACTACATTTTATTTTATATTGATAAAGAATTAAACCAAAATCAGTTAGTTGCACACTTCCAAATTAAATTGTTCGAGCCGTAGGTCACTAGGTCCTCATTTCTGAGATGGCAAAATATGATGGATAGTTGCTACCAAAGCATATCCCTAAAAAATCTTAGTTTACTTTAACACAGTTAGATTGTGGCATGTTCTACATTGCTCATTCCCTCTCATTGGATACTGTAGACTGTCATCAATCTTTTTGTTTCCAAGTGAAAACATATGTCACCAATGTCGCCTTCATCTTTTCACCATATTTTTTTAGTGCCCGACCATGTGCGTCCTCGTGTCTGCTCCCTGCCAGAGCGACCCTACAATCCGCGGGCCAGCGACGACCTGTACCGCCTGCGTCACTTCTCCATCAGCAAGGGCAACGTGGTCAACTGCGGCGACTCCATCATCTCGCGGAGATCACGGAGCAACACCAGTGTGAACTCCACGAACAGCCGGGCCAGCGAGCGGTCTCCTTTCGAGGGAAGTTGCTGTGGAGCGGGCTATGCCAATGTGGACTCCCTACCGGCGACACCGGATGACTCGGAGAACCTGGATCCACCGCCACCCGCCCGCTACCGCGTCGTGATGCTGGGCGATGCCGGCGTGGGCAAGACGGCGCTGGTCAACCAGTTCATGACCTCCGAGTACATGCACACCTACGACGCCAGTCTGGGTAAGTTCCATTCCAAAGTCAAGGCAATTGTCTCCCACGGGGATCATGAGATCAGCCGCGGAGCGCAGTGAGTAGCCGAGTGACCCCTAGCTGGAACCTATGTGTGTGCCTGATCCCTAGCTTCCCGGCTGCCACTGTCGTCTTTAGAGTTTAATTCTGATCTGAGTTCTAGATGACGAGTTTGGCGAGAAGACGGTGAGTGTCCTGCTGGACGATGAGGAGTCGGACATGGTCTTCATCGACCATCCCAGTGTGGAGATGAGTGTGGAGAACTCGCTGTCCACCTATGAGCCACATGGCTGTGTCGTCGTCTTCTCGGTGGTGGATCGCAGCTCATTTCGGGTGGCCGAGGAAATCATCAATTACCTGTGGCAGGAGAACTACACCAAGGACAAGGCCGTCATCCTGGTGGGCAACAAGGCGGATCTGGCCCGTGCCCGGCTTATCACGTCGCAGGGTAAGTTCGACGCCTTAATTATGATGGCTTGATTTCATTTCACCCCGCTCTTCCCCTTTCTCCTTTCTCCTTTCTCCTCTCCAATCCAATTCACTTTTGCTCCCCGAAGAGGGCAAAGCCCTGGCCGCCTCACGCGATGCCAAATTTATTGAGACGTCCAGCGGCATACAGCACAACGTCGATGAGCTGCTCGTCGGCATATTGAAGCAGGTGAGTGGAGGTGAAGTGGTGAAGTGGAGGGCAGGTGGCCAAGTGGCAAATGGGTGGCTATTCTGCGGTTATTGGGGCCAGGTGCGAACCACACGCAACCCACCGATGCATGGCGAAATTGTGCAGGAAACGGAGTTAAATGGATTTACCACGCTGCCGGGGGATGGGCCTGTTTTCGGGTTGGGTTTCGGGTTTCGCTGGCCTGCTTCCGGATCGGCTCACTAATTAATGAAAATGGTGCGGTGAGCGGGGCAAACGGAAACCTGGTCAACTAACCAGATTGGCCGTGGGTATTATTATTTCGCACGGGAGCAGATATTTCCGATTTCAAGGGATTAGACCGAGCAATTAATAAAGAGACTATAGAAACATTGAAATTAATTATTAAACATTAGAATTTATTATTAAACGTGAATATAAAACAACTTAGATAACACTCAAAACACAGAACTGCATAAATTTGAGGAATATTAGCCAAAAGTAAAAAATATGGGTCAATTCTTTATTGCTAAGATCTAAAGAATGTTATGTTCTGTTCGAGTTGCAGCTATGATTAAATCAATAGAATTAATAATCAGATATTAAGTATAACTTGTAAACGGAAATAATTTCTAAGCTCTAACATAATTATTTGAGAGCAAACAGGGTTTTACATATTTACAATTTTTTTTACACTTTAGGACACTTTTTAAATTATTTTAAATATCTTTGTTTTATTATACTTTTCTATGTAACTTCTTCTTTTTAAATTTGATGAATGTATATAAATATATATCTTATAAAATTCTATCTTATATTATTCCACTTTATATTATTTAACCAATTATTTACCATATTTGATACCACTTTTTCTCCACAATTTTTGTATAACCATCCAAAACAGATGCGTCTGAAAGAGAAGCGCGAGAAGAAGGCCACCGCCTCCAAGATGAAGACTTCCCGCACCCACATATCGCTGCACCTGGCCAAGGAACTGCTGCAGAAGATCTGCCTCAGCGACATCTCCAAGTCGAAGAGCTGTGAGAACCTGCACGTGCTATAGATATATATGAAGATATATATATCCCACAAGCCAGCCCAATCACATGTGGTGAGCCAGCTGAGATGTCTTCTTCGTGGCGAAATTCCTGGGTGAAATTATGCCACAAAACTGTATACAAAAGAGAATTTTATCAAAAGCGGCTGGCGGGCGAAATGTTTCGAATGCCATTCAGATTGGACCGCAGAAACGGACGGGGGGATGTGTTCATCTCCTTTGTTGTGCTCCGTTTATTAAAAGTTTAATGCCGGGTCTCGCTTTTTTCGCCAAGTCACTGGCTGTGGTCAGGCCTCCAGATTCGGCGGCGATAGTCGGTTTTTTTTTATGGCGGATGTTTTGGTTCGGCTTATCGCTCCCAGACGCTCCTCCAACTTGAGTTGGGTGGCGAAGGCCGGATTGATAAGCGCCAAACCAATGATCCAATGATCCAAACGACCCACAGAATCAGAGAATCAGCGATCCAGCGAGGCGTGTGCAGCCTCCAACCCAAAATAAACCCGCTGAAGGGGGCGGGGCTACATATATTACAATATATTTAGGTGTATATTTACATGCGTACTTGCATATATACATATATGTGTTCCAAGGCGAATAACTTCAATTCCAATAATGTGCTGTCAATTGAACGCTACGAAACGCTTAAGGAGCAGCCCCTCAAGAGACGAGAGAAACTTTATAGATGTTGATTTATGTATACACATAGTGGCCATAAGCAGCATATATACACGTGACCTATATCGGATAAGTTTAATGTCTAGGCTAGGGTTACTTACCGCTTCACCTGCTTCGCAAAGAAATTCTTCCAATTGACGAAAATCTCATATCGGAATGACTGTTGAATGTTGACTGTTGTTAGTCTAAGCCAAGAACAAATACCATTTAATCAAAGTACTTCACTCAGACGTTACTACGAGTATATAGATGTATATTTACGTGTACCTATATTTACTATATATTTAAAAACAAAGATATATATATATATTTACGGCCGTGCTCGGATGGAACTTCTAACATTTCTGAACTCATACGCTTATATTTGAAAAATACCTTTTACAAAATGCGAAAGGCAAGCAAAAACTAACGTAACTCTAACTATTTTCATACGCAAACTTACACATTAGAGGGGGAATGCGAGGATTCCGAATGGGATTGAAGGCCTTCCAGTGAGCCAGGAGCAGTGTGTGGCCACCACCGGGCTTGTCCAAAAGTCGAGCACTCGACAGCCGTGCACTCATGTTTGCTCTAACCCCCCATCCTTCCTTCCGCCTCACGTCCGCTCCTTTCTGTCGAGTGCACTTTATCATTTTTAACATTTAGCAAACAAAACAGAAACTTGCTCCGGCGAAAGTTTTAATTTGCAGCGCAAAGCCTGGCTGGCTGGCTGGCTGTGCGAATTCGCATACTTTTCAGCCGCACTGTGGCAATCTGCATCGCGCATACGCCGCGTACGTCAGGGTCGGGACTTTAATTTGATTTGGTAAACAAATCGCCGACGAAACCAAAATCGAATCAGAGCCAGCTATAAAACTCCCACCGAATTTATTGTGTAATGCCATTTAAATAACAATGTATTCTAAATGAGATTTTACTGCTACCATTTAAACATAACAATTGGCTTAAAGCGTAGTTGTAAAGATAACCAAACCATATACTTATATTTATGTGTAAAGATCGATGTATATTTATATTTTTCCAAAAGCCAAGCTGAGACAAAGTAAAGCAGCAAAGACTATACAACTGAAGATATAACCCTCAACAAAGAATCAATTTTGTGTTGCATAGTATAATCCACAATTGTACGCTTTTGCCTGTCATCGAGATGAGGCTGCAGAAAAAGCAAATTAATTAGAGTACACGGAGATAAAATCCGATTTCTTGTTTGGTGTGTATAACTTTTCTGCCCCTTGCCCCTCTGCCCCTCTGCCTCCTCCTTCCCGACTCGATCTCATCATCCGATAAATAAAGGACAAGGACGCTCTGTAACAACTAACTTGTGTATTTTTTACAGGGGTCAGGGGTCACGGGGTGGCATAGTGGCGGATCCAATCTCCAGCAGCCGCAAATTCAATGCCAACTCATGCGGCCGAAGTCCTCGAGTCCTCAGATCTCAGCTGTTGCGCACTTGCGGTTCCATTGGATGTTATGGAGGGGGGAAGGGAGGTAAATGTGTTAAGTGCTTGTTGTCAATCGCACCCAAAACTTTGCCGGATTTTACGCTCCTGCGGCACAAAACACTCCGACACAATATTGGTTTTTCGTAGAATCAATCGGCTGCTGGGTGGCCCGTAATTAACTTACGAAGAAGTCGGGCGATGCTGTTGAAAAGTTGACAATCCGGCTCTGATTGATGGCCATAGTCAGGGTCCTGGTCCTGCTCCTCGTCCTCGTCCTGTCATGGCAACCTCGCTGCCATATATATATATATATCTGGGGAAACATTGATGGCCCCCGCCACCTGCAGGGTCTCATAATTTTAATGAGCTTATTTTATTATATTTAGCGCATCAAGGAGATGCCTCCGCCTTCGCCCTCGACCGCCTCATCTGGATTATCCTGCGAACGGTTCCTTTTTGAAACCGAGATTGTTTCGCTTTACCTTCGTCCTTCGCACAGCCGGGTCTCAATGGCCAAATCAAACTAATTCCAAGTTCAATAAACAAGCCCAAATGAATATCCCGGCCGGGAGCCATTCCTCAATCAGCAGCACTCCCTCTTCCCCCTCGGGCAGTGTAAATTCTTATGAAAATAAGCAGCGTTGGCATTGGAGGAAGTCATTGAGGGATCCAAGGATAGTCCATGACCCCCAATCAGAGTGGCAATCATAATCGAGTCGCTGGAGAGTCGACGAAAATCGATTAAAAGCTTAACCATTATCCCGCTTAAGCTGGGATATTCCGAGGAGCTTAATAGCTGGAACACAATTAAGGTGGATTGGACATTAAGTTAATTATATAATATTAAGGAAGGTTGGGAGTTATCTCCCCTTTTCTTAATACAAATCTGTATTTAATCCCAATTGGCCAGTTGGTCAGCCATTCTCATCCGGTTCATGACTACGATTCCATCTTAAATTCCCCATCGATTATATGGCATATGGGATAACGACACTCTGTATTTTCCTTTTACCTTTCCAAACGGATTACCTCGTACTCCAGAGTGAGCAGGCAATACCTTAAGAGCTAGCCGGAAAAAAAGGGATCATAAAGGATGCCAAAGCACACACAATTTTATAGGGCCAAAAGCTGTTGGCCATCTGCAAACTTCTTTATGAGTGTGTGTGTGTGTCTAGTACCGATGGTACTAGCTATCAAAAAAAAAGCAGGCCACTCAGACGCACAAACAAACAAACTCTCAGGTATCCTCGCATCGCAGATGAAGAAATATTCGCGCCGGCAGCCGTCACTCTCGGGGGATTCATAACCAAATAAGCCGAATTTTTAAAGCATACTTTCCACCTGCCTTTCCACCATCACCATCTGCAGGATTCCCGGCTGCGATTCCCGGAGCGGCGACGAATATGAAATTTACGAAATGAAACTTTAAGCAGTGTGGAAAATGAAATTTAAATAACGATTTATTGCCTTTGAAGTATGATTATTTGCACGGCGGGACGAGGGGCTAGGTAAACAGCTGAGGAGCTGGCCATGTAGATTGTTGGCATACCCTTGCTTGGGCAAACGGTTGGCAAGGACCTTTCAAGGACCATTTTAAAAATAATCCTGGGACTTGCTTTTGATGTGCTGCAAGTAATGCCCCTTAATTGCTATTTAAAGTGCAAATTAACAACATAGTTATTAAAGGGGTTATTACTCTTATCTAAAAACCTTACGAAAATGAAAACTCCCGAAAAATTTAACTTTTATTTTGTGTTTTTTGATCAAAACCCCGGGAAATAATGGTCAAATGTTAGAATGTCATATGTCATCGGATTCGTTATATATAAATTTCCAATCGAATAGCATTCAGCTAAAAAATATTATTTTGGCCGATTTTTCGCAAAAAATGACAATATAATCCAAAAAGAATCAATTTTTTTCTCGGTTTTTGGATAAAAAACCTAGGAAATAAAGATCACATGTTGAAATGTCATATCTCATTGAATTTGTTATAAAATTTCCAATCGAGTGACATTCCCAGCTAAAATATTTTATTCGAGTCGATTTTTCGCAAAAATAATGAACTAACCCCTTATCAAAAATGCCGAAAACCGGAGATCCGGAAAAATTAACTTTTATTTTGGTTTTTTGATCAAAAACCTGGGAAATAATGGTCACATGTTGGAATGCCATACCTCGTTGAAACCGTTATAAAATTTCCAATCGAATGGCATTCACAGCTCAAAATTTTCATTTTGGTCGATTTTTCGCAAAAATAGATGATGTAACCCCTTATCAAAAATGCCGAAAACCGGAGATCCGGAAAAGTGCACTTTTATTTCGGTTTTTTGATCAAAAACCTGGGAAATAATGGTCACATGTTGGAATGCCATACCTCGTTGAAACCGTTATAAAATTTCCAATCGAATGGCATTCACAGCTCAAAATTTTCATTTTGGTCGATTTTTCGCAAAAATAGATGATGTAACCCCTTATCAAAAATGCCGAAAACCGGAGATCCGGAAAAATTAACTTTTATTTTGGTTTTTTGATCAAAACCCTTGGAAAAAATGGTTTGCTGTTGGAATGTCATATCTCGTTGAATTCGTTGTAAAATTTCCAATCGAGTGGGATTCACAGCTCAAAATTTTCATTTTGGTCGATTTTTCGCAAAAATAGATGATGTAACCCCTTATCAAAAATGCCGAAAACCGGAGATCCGGAAAAGTGCACTTTTATTTCGGTTTTTTGATCAAAAACCTGGGAAATAATGGTCACATGTTGGAATGCCATACCTCGTTGAAACCGTTATAAAATTTCCAATCGAGTGGGATTCACAGCTCAAAATTTTCATTTTGGTCGATTTTTCGCAAAAATAGATGATGTAACCCCTTATCAAAAATGCCGAAAACCCGAGATCCGGAAAAATTAACTTTTATTTTGGTTTTTTTGATCAAAACCCTGGGAAATAATAGACAAATGGAATGTCATACCTCGTTGAATTCGTTTCAAAATTTCCAATCGAATGGTATTCTCAGTTGAAAATTTTCATTTTGATTCATTTTTCGCAAAAACCTCTTATGAAAAACGCCAAAAAGGAAAGTCCCGAAAAATTAAACTTTATTTTCAATTTATTGATCAAAACCGTTGACAATAATGTTCATATGTTGAAGGTTCTCAAATACCGTTAAATTAAATAGTCGATCATTCCTATGGCAGACTTAGAATATAATCGTCCCATATCCAAATAACTTTTGACAAATAGGCAAAACGAATTTATCTGAATTGTGAAATTAATGTTTCTGTCTAAAAATATAATACTACATGTTAAAAGTAGGTGAAATAAGGAACTGATATGTGAGTGCCGCTGAGCCAATCGTTAGCTAAAATAGTAAAGAAACGTATTGCCTGTTGGCGGCAGCAGAGGAAGTGAGTGCCCACCGGATCCTTTTACGTCCGTCGAGTGCCCTGCCCCATAAGCGTAATGAAGAGCCGGGCATCTGGAATGGATTGAACGGATGGAGGTCGTCTGCCTGCTGCCCACCCCCGCCCCCGCAGATCCACCTGTTCACATGCTACACCTGTCCGCCCGTGTGTGCCGGGTTATCAGGATCAAACGCCGGCGGCAGCAGACGAAGGCGGTCCTTTGGCTGCTCCTGCCACTGCCACTGCCACTGCTGTCGCTGTCAATTCATCGCATTGGCATGAAATTGCTTTTTGCGATGGCTGTGAGGCAACAGCAACAAGTTGCGCCTCTACTATACACGCTTATAGAATGTATGTCTGTGCGAATGGCTGTCTGCACTGGGGGCTTACAAAGGAAATGAGAAAAGGTCGGCTCGGTTGTTTGCCCGCCTGTTGATGTTTGTGGGCCTGGATATACTTGCAAATTTGCGCCGCGCAGGAAACAGGAAGTTGTCGGGGGGGGGGGGGATGAATGTTTGGGCATTGTTTATTCTTTGGGAGCAGGCGGGAGGCCGCAAAAAGTCAACGGGAACCCTAACGATACGAAAATGCGTAAAGAGCTGCGATAAGAGGGGGCGGGGGAGAGAGGGTGTGCCATTCGCGGCATGTAAATTACAAGCGGAATTTCGATTGTAGCCCACGACCTTCGCTGGGTGGAAAGGGGGGGTGGTGAAGCGGTGGCAGGGGGACGGAATTAAATGCGAAATGCGAAAGGACCACGACAAAATAATCTCTCAAATGTAAGAAAATTGGCGGCGGGGGGCGTTTTCCCCCACTGCAGTTAAATGCCAAAATGGCAATTTGCTAAAGTTTTCCCCAGAAGCGAGCAGAAGAAGACAGTGGCCAGATACCTTGGATGGGGTGTCAGAACAGCGGGGTCAAGGGGGTGGGAGCGGGTTTTGGGGGGGGCCCATAAAAGTCAAAGCTTGACTGTTGTTACACTCCCTTTCTTCTGGTACACTTCAAAAATAAAGCTCTTATTGCCAACCTAAGGGAAATGTGAACAGTCTCCTTGGTTGGTTAATTACTTCTTCTAATTAATCAATCACCGAAACACATAAATCATCCATTCATCAAACTTAAATCATATTTAATTTGGTAATAGAAAGACTTAAGTGACTGGAAATCTCTAGTAACTCTTTTCTTATTTTGGTAATTAAGATAATTCTTTGCTACAACTCAATAAGTATTTTTTAATAGGTACCTTTCTATGTTTCATCCCAAATATATTGCCCTTTTGTTTATTTTATATTTAACATATCGTTTTTTCCATACACACAACCTTACTTTTCCCATTTCAGAGTCCAATAAAATTTAATGTTCAGTTTAAATTTTAATCTCAAGTAACTATAAAGCTATTGTCTTATTTATAACTACTTATTGTTACAATAAAAATATTTAACATATTTTAAGCAGACTAAATAAATAGGTTCTTTCTTTGGAATAACATAACTTATTTTACTGCATAAATTTAGACACTTTCATATTTTGACAACCAACAAAAATTGATTTCATTAAGATACAAAAACGCTGTCAAGCTAAAATGTTCTATAGCCAGACTTTTTTTTCGAGTGCATCTAGTCCGTGTCAGCTCGATGTAGATGCTGGAGCTCAACTGTTCAGCATCCTGGCACTTGTTGAGCGTTTTGCAAGCGAGCAGCAACAAAAACGTGTCAAAGAAATTGAAATTCTGCGTGTGAGTTTGTGTGTTTTTCTTGTTTAACAAGGAGGTGAGCAGGTGAGCTTTTTGCCAGCGATGTCAGTGCCACGAAAAGAAAGCGAAGGCGACCTTTGCGCCAGTGGCAGCCACATAATGCAGTCAGGGCACGATTGGCAAAATGCTCGGGGTGAAAGCGAAACCGAAGGGATGCCCGTTTCGTTCCTTGGTCCAGGACAATCCGACTGGAAACCGATTGAGCGACTCCATTTGTCTAGTGAATGGAGTCGAGCTTTGGCCTAGACTTTCGACCTTGCCCCCGTGAAATGAGCTGTGAACCCGGCTTGGCCTTCCGGCTCCAGCTGCATCCAGTGAATCCCGCCCTGTGCCATCAAATGCAGGCAACTGTCAAGGACATTCAGCCAGGTCCTTCGGGCAATTTGACCGCCTAGGGACCTTTAAATTTCACCCGAACCGTATGCGTTGGTAAATTAAAACTGTTTGCATGGGCGGGGCTTCAACCAAAAGAACGAGTAATTGTCAGCCGGTCATTTGGTTCATGAATTATGCAAAAGTAAATTTACGTGGATTTTTTTGTCGCTATAACGGCGGACATCCAGTGTTGACACTGGCAATATGTGTGGCTGTATGGGGGATGCGCGTTTGCATTTAATTTTCCAGCAGATTACGTTGACAGTCGCCGCTGGCCGACGGCCTGATTTTCAGTCATTGTTCAATGGCGACAAACCTCCAGAGAATTTGTCAACGTTTGCATAATCAGTGAAAAGCTGCTGCACGGCTGGCTATTTTCACGAAAATATACAAAACTGTATAAGTGGATTATGTCATTGATCTTGTTTCCGCCGGTCCAGGCATTAAAATTATACATAAATTGTATTTTATCATAATTATCAGGCGACGTTGGGAAGAGTGATTGTCAAGCAGACCATTAAACAGGTAACACGATTATCACTCAAATGAATTTAAATTATAATAATTATTTGATGTATTTCGTATTTAATCGAGCGCAAGGAAAGAGGTAAGAATTGGTTTAAATTCTATAACTGAGAAAATAAACATATATATAATGGAATACATAAAGAAATGTATTTGTATTTACCTGCACATTTTTTACGGTTTTGTTTTCCAAAAAAATATACATTTTTATGCTACATTCCTATATTTTCACATAATGAACTTAAATCTTTTCATTTAGATTTATAGTAAATCAGAATATATGTTATAAATATTAAGGTAGAATTGTAACAAAAATTAAAGTATTATTTAGTGTTAGTATCACAAAAAGGGTACAATGCTCGTATTTTTCTTCACATATTAAAATCATTTTTCTAGGTGTAAAAGCCAAGGTATTTCTTTTAGATTATAATGAAGGAAATAATTGTTATAAAGTATTTTTTTACAATATAACTATATATATTAAATTAAAATTTAGACACCATCAGGTTTTATATTTTTATAAGTTATCTTGCATATAGTTGAGCTGACTTCTTATCTATTTTTAGTTGCATACTTTTGGCTGTTTGAGTATAACAAGAGAAACTTCCTATAAAATTAAGCTGTTATACGAATACTCAGGAAAAAAAGCTTGCTTAAACAAAGTCCTGAAGCTCCGTAATTATCCTGAAAGCTTTTCCTGAAATTGAAGGGTTGTCAGATTTTTCAGAATTTCTTATAGAATTTTAAATGATCTCCCAAAACAATTATTTTTTTAACTGCTACTAAAGAACTACGAATTTACCATTTTTTTGTCAGTTACTTTGAATTCTTTCTTTTCAAGCGATTGTTTTTTAGCCGCCAGTGTGCTTTTATTGCAAGTTATAAAACACAACCCATATTAATAAAATAAAATACCTTTTTAATAATATTTCAGGTGATTACAAACTTTATTAAATGACTCTGCGGTTATGCAACTAAGCTCTAAATATAAAACAGTCGACTAATGGTATCTAAGATTAGCATTGCATACGAAGTGTGTATCGAACACTTACAACTATGTACATGTAGAAATTACAAAGGAATTGTGTTTATGGCAATGGGTCGTTTACAACGGCTCGTCTTTGGATCGCAAGGATCCTACTTGTTGAAGTTCTCGATCTGCTGAAGGACCCAACTGCGGGAGGCCGACTGGCAGACGATGACGCCGGCCCGCTGCTGGATCAGCACATCCTTCGAAGGCTTCGGGGCAATCTGTGGGTGCTGATGGGGGCGTGGTCCCAGGGGCGGTGGCGGCGGAGGCGGACTGCTGGGCCGGCGCAATTGCACTTCATAGTCACCGGACCGCTTCTCGTTGTCATCACTGTAGATGGCCGAGTCCCGGAAGTCATTCTCCAAACTATCCTCCACCTGCCGCTCATACTCGAAGCTGTTGGTTGGTGGATCCACTCCGGATCTCTTACGCTGCTGCTCGCACATGCTGTCGCTGGAGGAGGAGGTCAGCGAGAAGACAGAGTCCCGCTCCGAGTGATTGAGCACCCCCAGTCCGAACAGCGTCTTGGGATCGGCATAGTCCACGTGGGCCATCCGCTCGCCCACCGCCTCGCTTCCCTGGCGATGCAGCACGCTCTGGCGGCACATCTCGCTGACATCGGATACCCTTCGCTCTGGAGGACGATTGGAGCGACCGAAGGCCATGCTCAGGTTGTCTATGGACTTGAGGGCGCGTGGCAGCAGCGAACTCTCCGATCCCGAAACTAGGTTCTTTGGCAGGGGACGTGATCCGTGCTCTTGGATTGCCTCCATCGACATATTGATCACCGTGCTCTGGCTGTCTCGTTTCAGCGTGGAGCCCGATCCGGTGGAGGATGTCGAGGTGGAGGAGGAACTGCAGCTGTCCCGCTGCACTGCCTCCTCGCCCACGCGTTGCAGCACTCCGTCGGGCGAGTAGACCAGGGTCACATAATCCGATTCGGGGCGAGGAGCCGATGGGCTGGTCTTCGATCGCTTCTTCAGCATCTGCGAGGACTTGGCGCGTCCCAGCACTGGTGAGAACTTGTAAGGCACATGGACATTGCGCAGCAGGGTCTCGTAGATGGGCTCCTCCCCCACTGAGTCCACCTCCTCCTCGCGCTTCCTCTGCTGCTGCTGCTGCTGTTGCTGCTCCTCCAATTCCAGGGGCGGCGGAGATCGCGATGGTGGGCGTGGCGGCGGCAGGATGGGCCCACGACATATATCCGGACTCACGGGACTCACAGGACTTTCGCGCCTTTTCTGCTGCTTGTTGTAGATCCGCTCAAACTCCTTGTTGTTTTTGAGCAAATCCAAAACGATCTGGGCATCCCGCTTGGACTTCTCCGCTGGAGACAGCAGATCCGTCTCCTGGTCTGGGTGGTAATACTGATCCGGCAAGGTTTCATCCAACGTGGAGGCCTCCTGGGCCATTTCAATCTCCCCATCTGGTCGCAGCTCCTCCGTGGATTCGGTTATCTTGAGTACAGTGGCACTGCTGCTATCGAACTCGCTGAGATCCATGTAGAACCTGGAGCAGCTCTTGGTGGTGCTACCACGTTGCTTCTTCATGGTGGCAATCTTCTTGGGCATCGTCTTGTGGTTGTATTGCTTGACCTCGAAGAAGCCTTTTCCCTTGGTCTTGCGCTCGCTGAGATCGGGTTTACTGCCGCGCAGGGAGGCGGTACTATCCTCGTCCTGTTCCCGCTCCCTTTCCGCCTCCTCGTCCAAGCTGAAGCCTCCGATCCGAGGAACCGACTTACTACGCTCCTTGAGAGCTTTGTAACTGAAGACGGGGGATTGCGACTTGGCACTGCGACTGCGCTGATCCCGCAAAATGCAGGAGCACGGCTGATCCTCCTGCTTCACATCCTGGCCGCATTTACAAGCTTCTTTCGCCGGAGTCTTGGCCTCTTCCTTTCCCCCTGCATCTCTTTTTCGGTATCTCATGGCAGCAGCGAGCTTCTGCAAGGCCGTATCGTCCAGACTATTATTTCTGGCCAGTGGCTTCGAGGGCTTCACCTGGCTAACCGATTCCTCCTCCTGCTCCAGGGACTCGTTGAAGCTGTCAAAGGAGCTCGAGTTGGCCACCGTCTTCCGCTTGAATTTTGAGTTCCGTTGGCGTATCTCGCTCCTCCTGCAGGCATTTCTCCGCTCCAGATAGATGGGCGTGGAGTTACTCGCCGAGTGGAGACTCCACTTCCAAGTGCTGCGATCTGGGGTCCGATCTGCGTGTAAGGATAACCCATTAGTCAAGCTTAGATTCTGAGGTCTTGTGACATGAATGATAAGCGGTGGGGTGAGTGATTCGAGGAGGTAGTGAGCGAAAAACAAACACCAGTGAGTATGCATTCTAAGGTACCAAATTAACAGCGGATCATGCGGTAGTTAGGATTCATTGATTAGTTGGTGCTGGTTAGTAGGTAGCGATCTCCATACAATTATGCGGGTTAGGATGCATGCAAAACACAGACCCCGAACGAGTTAAAAGGCCAATTAAAGCTAGCAATCCAAATACGGTTCTCGCAATACTTACTAGGCTCTTCGGACACCATAGTTACTTTTAGCGAACACTACGATTACGATTAGGATGTTTAACAATTAGATGTACTGGGGGTTTACAGTTGTCTATAGCCCTTATTTTCATTTTGATCGGATTATATTTTGCTTTATTTTTTTTTTGGTGGGTAATTAGATCGGTTTCAGTCTCTGGGTGTGGGGATTTAGCCTTAGAACGCCTTAAACACTAGTCAAAGTTTTTTCGTTTCTTTGTTTTGGGGTGTTTAGTTTTAGAATGCATCACTGGTAGTACTACAACGGTAAACATATAGCATTTCGTAGAGTAGAGTTAGATCAAATTGAATTAGTACTAGAGTAGGACACCAACTAAGCACGGTAGACATAAACTGTGGCCCAAAACCCATAACGATCCAGTAAAGTGGGTGCCCGAGGTCCGCAATTAAAATGCGCCTACATCTCGCCCAAGTAATAAATCAGTGAGCCGCCGAGGCGTCGACAGATTTGGCACGATTTTGGCGAAAGGCTAGCGACTCGCTTGCCACTTGGTTATGTCACTTGGTCGCAGCTGGAGCGTGCGAATCATAAGTGCACCGCGCGAAAGAGTGGGTCGAGCCAAGTCCTCCATGTGGACGGGATTAAGGAGAGCCTCCAGCAGTGCAGAGAAAAAAATTTTATGTTTTACCTATTTATTTACTAATTTGCTTACCAAAATAGCAACGTCTAACAACATTAAAAGAAATACTTTAAGTATTCATCATATGGTAGTCTAACGAAATATTTTGAGAAGTTAAAGAGTATTTTTCAAAAAGACATTAAAAACGATTATCAACGATTCTTTATATGTGATTTAAAAATTGATTATTCTTATTAATATAGCAAAAAACCTTATAGCATATTAAAAGTATTACATTTTTAGAACCATAATCGAGATTTTCACTTTAATAATTTGAACTCTTGCAGATAAATTTAAAAGAATTTTTAAAGATAAAAAACAAGACCGTAAGCATTTGAAAAAACTACGCTTATATTTTAATTTCAATATTAATCTATTAAAAATACTATAAACTTGTTCTAATTAAAAGAATATCCAGATTATCAACATAATTCCTAACCAATTTAATGACAAAATAATGCAAAATAAAAATAAGCAAATGAGGAACTGATATCCCTGCACTTTTCTCACTGTGACTCTCCTTTTCCCAGGCAGACAGGCATTACCCAACTATAACAAGTACCCGCATGTGCATAACTGTAGGCACTTCATCATCTCGTGCAGTCCCCAATCCAAATCGTTAAGTGTTTTGGCCACATGACAAAAAAAAACACAACAAAAAACGGGGAAAAACGGGGAAAAGTAAGACAAAAAACAGCAAGAGCCCTAGAGCAGAGCCGCCAAGCTGGGAGTAAGCCAAGTTTGGCCAGCTGGGAGCACAGCACTCACCTTCCTCATCGCCCAGCTTAAAGACCAGCTCCTTGGCGCGCATCGGAATGTCTAGCTTCTCCAGCATGACACCTTTGATGTGCTGCGTCCAGATGCGCTTCTGGTCACGATTCCTGGCCGTCAGTTTGATTTGGTGCCGCGGCTCGTCGAAGGGGATGACATAGAAACTGCTCGGCTCCCCGGGCAAGTGTTCGCTCAGCATCAGATTGTTTTGCTGCAAGATCGGTGGGCATTAAGGCGATAATTCATAGATAGCTGCAGCCCACAAACTCACCGAAATGTAGGTCTTGAACTGCAGACGTCCGTCCTCCTTCTGCTTGGTAATGATCAGCATGGTGGCGAAGAGGAGAACGAGTCGCTGTTTGTTGTGCTGATCCATCAGCAGGCCCTCCTGACGCAGTTCACCCAGAACAGTGAGCTCTGGAATAGGGGGTACAAATGGGGTTATACCTCTAACATGGATCTCTAGGTGCTTCTTAGAGCACTCACCTGGTCCCAGCCAGCCGTCCAGAATGCCGGACAGCTCCTTGACGCGACTCTGCTGCTCCTGCTTGCGCTTCACCTGGTCGATGTGGTACGCCACCTGGCGCATGATCACATGGGCCTCGGCCACCTCCTTCAAATCGCTGTGTTTGCGCAGGCTCTGTTGGAATACAAATAGAAGGCACGTCAGTCAAGGACTGTCATCTCGATCACCCACTTCTCCTACTCACGTCCAGGAGCAGATGGTACTTGAGGATGCGCTGCACCGGCTTCAGGAGATAGGATCCCAGGGGCAGGCGGTGCTGGAGGAGCTTCTGCGTGGAGGCCAGCAAGGAGTAGGTGTGCGTGGCCTGCAGCAACTTGGTCAGCAGCGAGATGGCTTCCGGGTAGCTTGTGCTGCGGGGAATCGGGATTTATGACATGTGCTTTAGGTCTTCATCATGGCTGGCATTAAATCTGAATTTCAAATCTGACGACAGTCGACAGTGGACAGTGGATAGTGGACAGTGGGAGGCACGATGATGTATGCCCGCGTGTCATTGGGGGCGACAAATCAAACCGCTGCCATCGGATTCGGATTCGGAGCCGCTCTCCAAATTGGCATCGCGGCCAGGTAAACGTCAGCGTTTAAATGGAACATGGCGTGCCTGGATTGCCAAGAGACGCCATCGTTTCGTTTGGTTTGGTTTCGTGTCATGCTGCCAGCAAACTGCCTATCGAGATCGTTTTTGGCCGTCGTTACCGTTCTTGGCAAAAGAGCTGGAAAGCCACAAAGGCAGTATCGAAGATGGAGCGAACACGCCAAGTCCCCAGAATCCCCAACCAGGTCAGGAGTAGACCCACCTCTGTCGGGATTATTAGTTTTGACACATAATTATGGTGAAGTGCGAGGAGTAAACGGACGGAAGTCATAAACGCAGGCATTATAGCATCATATTTGCAATTAATGATTAGATTAAATCAACTAAGTGATTAATCACTGTCATTACACGAAGCTATTAGACAAAGATATTGCTAGATAGCTTATTATTACATCTTCCAATAAATTTCACAAATTTTTGCAACAAAAAAGTCTCCCCCAAAGTGTGATAAACAACATAGTTTTACTAAACTGTACTTTTTTCAAGTCGAAAATACTTCATAGCTCCACTTATCTAAGTACTTTCCAGTACCATTCATGAAAATTTGTAATCAGAAGTCTTGTCAAACAAATGCAAAGCTTGCTTATGTTAAAACTTCGAATGAATAACTGGGTGTGAACTGATTAAAGTTGAACCCATACGAAATAATGGGGATTCCCTAAATGTTCAGATAATCCAGAGCCATGACGCATTCGAATACTCTACCCTCCACTCACCAGTAGGTTGTGTACACATCAAAGCCATCGCGCAAGTCGATGAAGCACCTGGCGATCCTCCCGGGATCCCTTCCCGTGTTGATAAGCCGCTGCAAAAGCATCGAGTTGAATTCGTAAATCTCTTCAATGTTGGCAAAGAGTATTTGCAATTCGTCCACGCGGAGACAGGCGCGCTCCTTCCAGTCGAGCAGGTACCTAATTTAAATATACATATGAGATCTTTGAGGAACATACTCAATAGACAGTAAGACTCACCCCTTGATCACCTGACCCAGATCCTCGACGAAGCTCCGCTCCGAGTCCACGATCTCCAGGCAGGTCTTCTCCAGGACACTCAAGGCGGGCGGATGGTGTGGATCGCCCAGCTCATTCTCGCTCTCCGCCAGACTCTCCACACTGGCCAGATAGGAGGTGGCCGTCAGCTTGCCATTGAGCAGCTGATCCGATCCGGAACTCGAACTGGAGGAGGTGGAGCAAATGGAGGAGGAGGACAGCGGGCGATTGTTGAGCCTGGCCAGCTCACTCAAGCGGGCTGCAAACTTCGGCTTGATATCCGTGAGCCTGTCCAGACTCTCCGCCGACAGCTTGTTGGCCTCCTCCAACTCGGCCAGTTGCTCGGCAGTGGGCAGCTTCAGGGGCACCCCGCCACCCAAGGTGCTGGCCTTGGCGCCCAAACTCTTGGTGCGGGCATAGGTTAATAGAGGAGAACTGCAGATGGTGGAGGCACAGGCGGCGGAGGAGCTCCTCACCAGTGGCTTACTGACCAGGGTCTTGTTCACCGCCTCGATGAGCTCCGCCCGCGGATCCAGTCCACCCGGATCCGCCAGCGTCAATCTCTCCATGTGCTGCGCCACCAGGTCAAAGTTAATGGTATCCACCATATCCACCGGACTCAGTGGCTCACTGCACACAAACTCCTTGGGTTTGGGTGGATTGGAGGAGGGCTTGGGCGTGGCCGGCGTTCCAGGCGTGGCGGGCTGAGCATGCTGCAGTTGGGCACTGGTGGCCGCCAGTTGCTCCATCTCGATCAGCTTGATGCTCTGCTGGGAATCGTACCTCGGCAGGGTTAGTTTGCGCGTCTGGAACGGATGCCCATCGAAGTGGAAGGGAGTGCCTGGTACGGATTTATTGGTGGGCGTGCGATCCTCGTCCTGGGATCTCAATTTCTCGGTGGCGGCAAAGGCCAGTGAGTGCAGATACTCGTTGCTGGAATCGAAGGTGGACACCAGTTCGCTGCCCGATTGGGTGGACAACTTGCCGGTGATCTTGGACAGGGGTATGTGCGATAGTTTCAGTTTGGGCGTGGATCCTCCACTCGCCGGGGATGACCCACTGTTCCCGGTCTTTATGTACCTTCCCTGGGTGGGACTCCTTTGGGATTGCTGTTGGTGCTGTTTCAGTGCCTCCGCAGACACTGCTTCCACTGGCTGTATATCCGAGTGCGTGATGATCCGATGGACATTCGGTGAGAGGATGCGGATGTTGCTGCCCCGGCGACTACTGGTTGTGGAAGTTAGACTGCTGCTGCTTCCGTGGATCTGCGACTCCTGGCGTCGCTGCACCACCAGTCGGCTCAACTGAGCGCCATCCGGTTCGTCCCGCAATCCCGCAACCACCAGTGGCGCCGCTGGCTCCTGGTGGCCCAAGTGGCCCAGGTGGCCCAAGTGGGAGCTGGAACTGGCTAGCGTGTAGCCGCCGGTCTGGTCATCGCTGGTGGGGACACTCGAGCAGCTGCTATTGCTGCTGTTGCTGCTGCTGCTGCAGTTGCTGTTGCTTCTTTTGGGCGTCGAATCGCCGCTGCTGGAAGCCTTCGATTCGTGAGATGTCGCTGTGGGAGCCCCTGCCACGCCCCCCGCGGCCAAGCTATTCGTCAATGTGTCGTAGATGCCCAGCAGAGAAGGTGCCAGCTCTGTGGTGCTGCCTGTAATTTGAAAATAAGGGGAAATGGAACATCAGTACACGGAAAAGAAATCAGGGTGATCGATTATATAATTGTGATTAAATTATGATATTTAAATTAACTTATTTTCTTTCCTACTGTATACCAAAAACGATTTTCATAAAACAAGAAATTAACGAAATAAACTCAAAGTTAATAAACTACAACCTAATAACAAATATTTTCGAAGAAATACTACATTTTAATATATAATAAATAATACAAACAATATGGGATTGTATAAGGCATTTAAATAAATTTCTGAGTTTATATAAATGCGAAAAGGTTTTAGGAAAGAATTAAGAATGCAATTTCCAAAAGAAGAAAGAAAAACCTCAAAGTAAACATTTTTTCGAATGATAAATGTGGTATAAAATACGAGTTCCCAACACAGTTAATATTGTTACCTAAGGAGTTTCAACTTTCTTCACAATTTTTTTAATAAAGAAATTATATCACAAATCTTTTAAACAAAATTACAAATTACTAAAAAAATTTCCTGCACTTATATAATTATGAGAACGTGTTGGGAACAAGTTAAGAACGCAGTTTCAATATGAAAAGAAATAACGAAGTGATGACTAATTTGGATGATTATTCTCCCCTTATTCCCGAGGCGCGTGGCTAGTGGGCGGTGTCTAATGCCCCCTCCCCTTGAACGACCTAACCCAACCCAACCCAATCGATCCGACCCGATCGAGGTGCTGCAATGTTGATGGGCCTGTGCCGTGGCACACATGCTCGTAATCCGCGATATTTGCCATAATTTTGTTGCATAAAATAATAAAATGATTTATGCCGGGGCAAACAACGGCCGGCGGACGGGAATGGCTGATGTATTGAGTTGTTTAGCCGCAGGATGCATGGCCAACGAGCGGCGGTCAGAACGTGGCCATCAGTCAGCGAGTGTGCGTTATTCTGGCCAGGCTTGGAATCGAAACTATAGTTGGAGCCGGAGTTACTGGGCCTGGTCTGCTGCATAAATAAGTAGGTTGCTGCTGTTCGCCTGCCTGGCGGCCTGACATGTGAATTGATATGCCAACGCAACATGGCCAAACCGCAAGGCAACTAGCAACAGGCAAAAGGCAACGGGCAACTAGCAACGGGCAACTGGCAACTTGCAACAGGCAACTTGCAACAGGCAACGAGCAACATGGCAGAACATCGACCCGAGTCAACGGCAATTGGCATGAACATTCCGAGGCTCGCTCATCATTTCTCACAAACGGTTCAATTAATCAAAAGCGCTCACAACTGCGGATTTAATAACATTATCGACAGGGGGACTTGATCTATAAATTACAGATCGCGTCAGTCAACAGTCAATGTTGCATGCAGGCACTTTTAATGATGGCCTGCAAATTGCAGTTCAAGCCGTGCAACGTATAGTATAGTGGGTTCTATAAATAACAAGAAAGAAAGCTAGCTTCGGACGGAGCCGAAGTTGATATACCCTTGCAGAATATTCTGTAAATTATATTCTTCAAAATTATTCATATGGTGTATTCTTAATACTCATAAAAAGTCCCAACTTCCTAACTTTAAAAACACCAAAGTTATGGCATTTCCAATCGTTCAGTTATATGGCAGCTATAGGATATTGTCGGGCGATCCTTATGAAATTTGGTAGGTCGGATTGATTGGCCAAAAATAAAACCCATAAAAAGTCCCAACTTCCTAACTTTAAAAACACCAAAGTTATGGCATTTCCGATCGTTCAGTTATATGGCAGCTATATGATATAGTGGCCCGATCCGGCTCGTTCCGACTTATATACTACCTGCAATAGAAAGACAACTTTTGGGAAAGTTTCAAGCAGATAGCTTTAAAACTGAGGGACTAGTTTGCGTAGAAACGGACGGACGGACAGACGGACAGACGGACGGACAGACGGACAGACGGACAGACGGACGGACAGACGGACATGGCTAGATCGACTCTCCTGGTGATGCTGATCAAGAATATATATACTTTATAGGGTCGGAAATGTCTCCTTCACTGCGTTGCAAACTTTTGACTGAAATTATAATACCCTCTGCAAGGGTATAAAAAGAGCCAGCCAATGGATGCAAAAGCATCTGCATCTGTAAAGTGTGAATGCCTCGCTTCGTTTGGCCAACTTCATTAAGGCCAAATGTTTATGTGATTATCGCTTAGCACATTTGGCTAACAACCCAACAGCCAAGATCCTAACAGCCCATACATCTCACTTCCCGCTTAAAAGAGGCTGAGCAAATCAGGCAATTAACTTTTTAAGACAAAACTGCGGCCCACGTTGCGGCTACCGGTTTTCAGCTATTTAGATTTTTCCAGGCATTACCATCCTCATCGTCATCCTCATCTTCAACTTCATCCTCATCCTCAACAGCATCCACATCCCAGTAGCCGATGGGGCACTTTTCTCCTAATTGCGAATGGTGTCAATGTGGTCCGGGTTTTGGTTGGTTTTTTCGCCTGGTTGGGCAACATTTTGCCAAGCCACGAACAACAATTAGTTGGCATGAGTAGTGCCACGCCCACTGTCAGACCGCCGCTGTGCCGCCTGTCTTTTCGGGCAGACTAACGACAAGTCGTAAACATGATTTGTACATTTAATTTTCCATCATTCTGTTTGATTATTTTGCGTGGGCCGCGAACGCAGACAGAGCAGATACTCGCCAATAGATAGTTGCTTAGTCGGATGCTTGGATACTTGGATACTCGGATACTCGGATACTTGGATACTTGGATACCTGCCTGGCCATCATCCTGCAGGCTGACCCAGTTAGACGACAGAGCGTTTTGCTTAATTGCCAAACCGTGGGTTGCGACGACAGGTTCTCCAATGGGTTTCACACACAGAAAAAACTAAATTACCGAAACTGAATATCCTTCAAAATTGCAACATCATTTAATACCATTTCTTCTATAGTTTTTAGGAGATATATTGTTCCAAAAAACTCATATCAAATCCTCATATTCCTTTATCTTTAAATATGGGATACCTCAAAGTATTGATTTTGATTTGCACATTGAAGTTACGGCATAATTATTTAATATTATCCATATTATGGAAATTATATTTAGTGAACATTATGGAAGAACTTCTTTCAAGAGAAATCATTTACAAGATGCATTTTTTCAAGCAATCATCATTATTTAAAATTTATTATTAATATCAAACTAGCTAATCCAGCTTAATTTTGGGCTAATTTTATAAATTAGACCTTTGACTGAGTAACAATTTTTTGCCGTGCAAAAGTAGAGTCTAATCATTGCCACTTGCCGGCGAGCATTTAATTAAAAGCCAACAGCTGTGGCCGTTCCAAACTATTTATGGCATAATTCCGCCAAGACCTGGGGAAAATGTCGGCCAGGCTAATCTCGAATCTGGCCGGCGATCTCCGCAACCGGAGTGGCCAACAAATTCAGCCTGTCAGTCCAGCGAAACAATGCAAAGTAAGCTCTCTGTCATTTTGCAATTTGCAATTGGAGTAGCCCCCTCGTGGATGCAAAGGGTGTCAGGGCCAGAAGTGTATGAGGGGGAGGGGGAATAAGAGGGGGGTGAGGAGGAGGCTCAGACACTGGTTTCATTTTCCAAATCCAAATCCCTTTAATGCCCCGGCGACAAAGTGTCTTATGGCCGTAGCCGTAATTTTCTACAGCGGCTTCAGGTGTCCACTCCGCGCACCTGGACAAGCTCCTAAAGCCGGCAATTTATGGCGGGCCTGACACAATTTCATAAGGCCCCAAAGGCCGCAAAGGCTCCATCGCGGAGTCGGGCTAAAGATTACGCGATTGTGGCTAAAAATAGCAGACGCTAAAGGTCAACCGGCCCGAAGATGCAGCTGCTCGGTGTGTTGACTGATTTACAAGCCAAGTGCAAGTCGCTCATAAGTTGGCGACATTGAATTATGCGCAGCGAGGGAAAGTGCTGTCGTCGGAATCTGAATCTGTATCTGAATCCGAATCCGAGCTCAAACTCAAATCGAAATCGAAATCGACAGCATTCAAATGTTGCACCTTCGGATGGAATGGAATAAAATGAAATGGAATGCGATGACATTTTATTTATGCACGGCGTGGCCAGCTGTTGAGAGCATTAAATTAATGCGCTTAGTCGCCATCATCGATGTCCCAGGTCCGCGACTGCCAATTGATATTTTAATCGGCATTTCATTTTGTCTGCCCCGTCTTGACTTGGCGCCATGGTTAGTCCGGTGTTTAGGGAGCCGTTACACAGAGAGAAAATTGGGTGTCTTAATGCATCAGTTAGAGATTTGTTATCCCTAAATTAAACTAGTGTTTCTAAGGGTTTGACAAAAAATTCCCTTTCAGTTGTAAAATAATAAAAACATTTTATAGTAGAAATAAAAACGAATAATAAAAAAAATTGCAAAAATAGTCACTAGGAAAAATGGAGAATTAGGGATAGGGTTTAAGATCCTTTTTGAAAAGTAAAAATAATCCGAAATAAAATGTCAACATATTGAAGTCTTTCATCCATTCATTCCTTCATCAGATAACAAATTCCTCTAGTAATTGTTAAGCAATGAATATTACAATAAAAAGTGTTCAAAACTATACATTTTTTTCCGTGTAGGTTATCAACTGTCATTATTGACTTGGGCCCCCATACGTGTTCCCTGGTCGCTTGGCTTATGGCACGCATTTTGCAACTCCCAATTAAAATGTTATTCAATGCGTCGCTGAACGCGACTTATAAACACATTTCCCCCGATAAGACGACGACCTGGAACACCGCCACTTTAGTACCGCTTAACTCAAACGATATTGCCACAAACAGAAGCCAAGACACAAACTGAAACTGAAACTGGAAAACAGAAAACGGAAGTGGAAGTGGAAGCCGCCTGGCCAAATGGTCACAAAAGTCGGCAAATATTCCAGGCACATGTGTTGGGAAGAAATGAAGGAAAATGGTATGCAGCAGATGTGCAATAAAACTGAAGCTGAACAACTTTGTTTTGACAATGACGGGAAAA